TTTAATACCTAACACATTTTACATTGCTACATGCATACCACAAAACTTTTGTACCTATATTATCTGCGGATCTGCATAACAGCATCTAAGTTACAGAGCGTCTCAAAATGAAAATGATTTCCAATAGAAAATAAAGAAATGTCTCAAGTTATCTCTAGTATTAGTCAGTTAAGAGTCATGCATGTATGAATTACTAATTACTAAAGAAATTGTGATAATTTTCTCTTAAACTGGTATGAGGGTCAAAGGTCTAAGAAAACACGTGTAGCTCAACAACAAATCTTAAACGGATGAATCTAGGTTATTATATTTCCATAATGTATCTTTTAACTATTTTCCTTTAGTCATTATCTGGTTCAGATCTAGAAGCGTAGATTTTTCTATTTTAATATCTTACATAGTTATATTCAGTTATGGAAATCCAAGGTCGCTGCTCCCTGATGCTTTAGAACGAAAATAAGAATGATCGATATCGAGTTTCCAATCTAGATTGTACTGAAATAGGTTTGTAGGCAGCGTTACATTCACGTGTTGTTAAACGTGGTTTAAATACTATGTAAAGCCTTTACATTAGCATCACAGTACACTATTTGTGGTAACTATGTAATGTAGGATTTAAATGGAACAAAGTTGCGTATTTTTCAGCGTCTAATTGAGAAATAAGCTTATAGTGGTAAAGTTCAAGTACGTATTAGTTATTTATCTTCAAAAGAAATCTGTTATACTTTTCTATTAACAATGTTTTGCCTTATGTACTTATTTTAGACGTTTACATCATGCTTTGAGAGAATTAATCACCGTGGTAAGATTTGAGATAACACTCTTATTTTGTGCAATAGAAGATAGTAGGCTCCGAAACAGGTCTCTTTTAGAGTACCTGGTCCGCCTTGCAGGAGTTGAGGTTGGCCAACGGGGTGGTTTTTGTGAGGTAAAACCCCACACTCCCTAGTCTTTCTCCCCAAAACGCTAGGCACCCTTTGAAGGTTTCCCCTCGTCATTAAATGTTTCTTATGGTTCCTAAATGTGTCGCGGAGAACCTAACGGGTAACCGGGGCTCCGGCTCGACGTGCAGGAGAAGGAACGGGGTGGTTTTTAGTCAGTAAGAGTCTGACACTCCCTTCCGCTTCACCCAGGCGGGAGCAGTCATTCGATGATTTTCCCCCTTAAAAAAAAAAAAGTGGTTCCTAAATGTGTGATTTCGACTTCATATAGGTACCTACACAGGTATCCATTTTGAACAGCGAGACTAAACTTGTGCAATTGCCCAAAGCTTCATTATTATAGGAAATAAAATAAATTACATTGATTAATTCAGAAATAATATAGGTATTTAGGTATTATATCAAATATTGTTTATTTATTTGGTATCAGAGTTATTTTAACTGCCTTCAAACGGTGTATCTAATTGTAAATTATGGAAGTGACATCAGTATCTTATCTAGAATGACGAATAATTGTTCGTACGTGATTTTTGATTAAGGAAAACGAGGAGTCGAGACATTGACCCTTGTTGGAACAAGGTTACTGAATGTACACACAGCGATAACAGTTTCTGTTAAGAGTAATCTCTTATCATGCCTATTTGCTTTCAGAACGGATGGAGTCACTGTTCATTTATTGGTGTGATCGTGATGACAAGGGGGATTTATCGATGAGCTTTTTGTACAGTTCCGGACCTGAAAATTTAAGGTAGGTAAGTGCTTAACATGTCAGTCGGTTTATAGACATTTAAAAAAAATTTCTTGATATACATGATAAAGGTTCAAGCACGATCACCCTCTTGTCCTTTTTCAATACTTTGGATAGTCGCAATGCAATAGGGATGTCTTTTTATTGTCAACCTTCTTTTTTCATACCGCTCTTCACACCACCCATCTCTTATGCGGTCGTTCTTTTTGTTTCCATCCGTCCAGCACTCGATGAGCTACTTATAACATAACATAACATCACGCCTTTTATCCCCGAAGGGGTAGGCAGAGGTGTACATTATGCCACTGTACAATGTAACACCCACTTTTCACTATTTATGTTATGAGTCCCATGTAATAGGGAGTGAGCCTATTGCCATGTACCGGGCACTGAGAATTATTTTAATAAACACCAACACTTTGCGCGACCCGGGAATCGAACCCGAGACCCCTTGCCCGGCAATCGTACTTGCGACCACCCGGCCAACGAGGTAGTTTTTATTTTATCTTTTCACAAATTCACTGTAAAAAAGATTTCTTTACAAATGTTGAAGGCATTTCAACTCCTCTGTTAGTGACGATAGTGCATTCACTTCTGCATTTGAAAAAAGAAGTTCATAGAAGTAGGAGTGCACAAAGTTTATTTTTTGAAATGAATTAAAAAAAAATAATAGACTTGAATAGGCATTTTAAAATTGATAGGTAATTACTTCTTTGGTTAATATATTTTTAATATAGGTACTGCAAGAATCGAACAGCGGTAGGCGCCAGGTGCTAGTAGAACTTCTACTCCTACTCCTATGAACTTCTTTTTTCAAATGCAAAAGTGAATGCACTATAGGTTTGTATCAATACTAATTCAGGAATGGGGATGATGACAGGGTATGAAAATTAAAAATATAATTAGTCCGTAAGTTAGGTAATGAAAAAATATTAGACACGTATTTTTTTATTTTGTCGTATAATAAAACAATACTTAGATAAAACGAATCAAAGTTTAGGAGTGGGGGCTAAAACGTCATTTCTTAGTATAAAATGTACTGAGAAGTGACGTCACGCGACATTTCAAATCAATATATCTTCGAAACTATTCGTTTCTGTGAGAAAATAAAAAATACGTGTCTAATGTTTTTAAATAATCTATCAGACGGACATTAAAATAAAAATTAGTCGTCTACCATTCGGTAATTGTAAAACAGGTAGGTAAGTTATTAACAATTAACTTTACACTATCATGAGCTGAACCACAGAACATAATTGGGATGACAGGATATGAAAATTAAAAATGTAATTAGTCCGTAAGTTAGGTAATGGAAAAATATTAAACACGTATTTTTTTATTTTGTCGTATACCTAATAAAACAATACCTACCTAGATAAAACGAATCAAAGTTTAGGAGTGGGGGCTAAAACGTCATTCCTACGTATAAAATGTACATAGAAGTGACGTCACACGACATTTCAAATCAATATATCGTCGATAGTATTCGTTTCTGTAAGAAAATAAGAAATACGTGTCTAACGATTTAAAATAATCTACTAGAAGGACATTAAAATAAAAATTAGGCATCTACCCTATCATATCAGCTATCTAATATAAGTAGGTAAAACTCTTGAGGTTCAATACGTGGACATCGCCACGTTGCGAACATTTTACATGTTCTGGGAGTAGTACCTACATATATTTTTGTTTATTTTTTTAATTAAAACGTCACCCCACACTAGGATTTTCTTCTGTATCGTAGGTGTATTTACAAACATACAAATTCACACACACATGACACCCAGACCCGAAACAACAATTTGTGGATCACACAAAATGTTGATCCGTGCGGGAACTCGTGACACGCTGCACGGCAGCCAGTTGCCCAGCCACCGCACCAACCGTGTAGTCAATCCATATGATTCAGCACTAATTTATTTATTATCTTATCTTACTCTATCACTAGTTTAATATAACTAATTAATGTTTGACCGCCACGCTATCCATCCGCCATCTATCTATTTTATTTGCATAAGAAACGAAATAATTTATTTACGGTGAATTTATTTAACATTATATAATTTTATTTAAGGTCAATAAATATGTACCTATTTTATGTAAGTGTACATGTACAATAACTACTTAGCATGTTAATAATACATACACTTTAATTACTTACAAATTTTAATTTGCATTTAATTGGTACGACATACCTAAGCTTCTTAGCATCATAATTTTAGATTTAGTTTTTATACTTGAAACACGTTTATCGCAACTTGTTACCTAAGTCCTTTTTTGAGGGTGGAATAATTTTAAGTGACTTCTCCCGCCATGGGTGAAGCAAGAGAGAGTCACTCTTACTGACAGGAAAACCACTCCGGTCCTTCATCTTGACCCGGAGTCCCGGTAACCCGAGAGGTCCTCCGCAGCCCCGGCCATGTCTGCAGCCTAATTATGAGAGCACAGACATATTAAACACAAAACTTGTTTCATTATAAATCTATGTATATGAGTTACATAGAAAACTGAAACCTAGTCAAGTCTTTCAGTCTTTTCTTTCAACCAGCTAGATACGTCGCTGTACTTGCCCAATACCTAGGTCTGTCGAAAATAAATATCTCGGCGACGATGATTAACATTTTAATACCGCGATAAGATACCGCCTTTCAGGAACAAATCACAGCAACACGCAATTCGGTACCATAAAACATAAGCGAAGCAATAAATTTAATAAAAATTGATTTACAAAAAATAAAAAAAAGTAGTGTAGTAGCTTTGATCGTCACGTCTTCAAGAATTCTAAGCTACTGAAAGAGAAATTTATTTCCAGTAATCCATTAATTACATCAGCTGATGCAATCAACAATGCTCTCTGTTATTATAATTATAATAGAAAACGAGTAATGATCTCATACGCTTTGTTTTAGAATCGAACAACACATGTTTTTACTAATTTTCAATCACAGTCGAATATAGAGATAGGTTCGTAACGTGATCGGTGTACCTATAGGTAGTTATCAATTGATTGTGACTACAGATAATTTGTAAACAGTGGGTTGTTTAACACAATAATTAGTACGGCTGCCGTCGCGAATGAAAATACATTCAGTGCTGAAGACAATCAACAAAAGCTGTTATGGATTTTGCTCGTGCCGGAATGTTTGATGCTATTCGGTTTCCAAACACTACCTTGGAGTGTCTCGTACTAGTGTCTACAACTGGACGTGTCAGTGACATAATTTTGTGATATATGTGATTGTGCTCTAATACGTGCATTTGTTACAACTTTACCTATCCATTATGTTATTCGAGTGCAAAAAGGGTGATTTATGGAAATTATGCAAGAACGTCATTTAATGTTTAGTTTATTTTATTATATCACATGGATTTCGATTTTACGTGGAACGCAGGTTGGTTTTTATTCATATCAATTTAAGTTAGCAATCAAATGAGTTCATTAGTGAATACGCAAATAGGTTGGAAACTATAAAACTCGAAAAAAACCTGAGGGATATTCTGGTAGTTATTTAAAACATCTTATAAGTGCTCTATAAGTGCCTTTCACTCCAGTCGAATGTTAGACAAAGTTTTGCCAGGAGGTGCTTAATTGGGTGCTACATAAAAAATAAATGACAACACCCTCTTAACTCGTCGAGTACCGTATTTATAGACACAATTAAAGAACATAGGTTGCGGTCACCGGTGACCGCTTGGTGTTTAACAGTTTAAATAGTTCGTATCAGGCTCAACATTGGGTGTCGAAGAAGTAGGGAAAAATCACGGTAAGCATTGGTACATACTACGCCATAGAGTAGGTGCTTAAAACAGTGATAGCCTTCGATAAAGCACCTTTGTCGCAGAACCAAAGAACATAGCGAAGTATAATTAAAATATCAAACTGATTAAATTGGTATTGTCATTATTTTAAGTGCTTACACGAATAATTGATTGTTTTTTAATTTAAGACCTGCAAAATGTGATAAGATACCTAATTACAAATGTAATAATATCTAATAATTACGATTTTCATCTGTCACTGAATGTATCAAGATTTTAAAGTACCTACCTAATTAGGTACTGTAGTAAATACATATAGTAACAACATGCAACTAATTCTACAAAAAGAAACCCGTTTACTTAAAATTCCATCTAGGCAACCATTATTTCCTTTTTGCTCACTCCTTTGTCAAGTTAAAGGCATTCTACATAGGTACGTTATTAAAAAAATGCAATGACGAATGGACACCCTTATCGCAGTAGACAACAATTCCTTCCCGGTACAATAAATAACTAAAGGACATGAACGATTAAAAACCAGACTATCTTAATTACATCGACACCATTTCGGACTGCATAGGTTAGAATAAGAATTCCCTCGAATCGCATTGTATTGACTGTCACAATCGCTATCTTATAAAAGTTGCATTGATTGATACCTAATGATAAATGGTTCCTGTTCGCAATACTCACTTTTGAATTCTAATAAACAAAGATAAAACGTTTGAAAACTGTTGACATCGTCTTTAATTCTGGTAAACAAAATGAAATAAATAGTTGTTAGTATAACTGAAGAGTATAAGACACACAACAACTGGCAGCAGCACTGTACTGTATGATACTGAAATCTGAATCTAAATATTAAACTGCGTTCTAAGATCATAGAGTCAATAGAAAATAACTTTTATGTAGAACTTGCGACCCACCCCGGCTTCGCACGGATGCAATACACATGTTTTATACAAGCAAGGTTTATATGTATAAACCTTGCTTAAGAATCACTCTATCTATTAAAAGAAACCGCATCAAAATCCGTTGCGTAGTTTTAAAGATCTAAGCATACATAGGGACAGACAGACGGCGGATAGCGACTTTGTTTTATACTATGTAGTGATAGGCCTACTATAAGTCAGGTGAAAATTTATTATATCGACATTTTTCTATAAAATGATAAGGCTTGTAGGGTGTAGGTAGTTAGGTACTGACAAGTACCTAGGTACAGGTGCCGGCGACCTAAGCAGATACTTAGGTAAATCGTTCTTTTCGTAGAAATTACTGGTCGGTAACCCAGTTTAATAATTATTTTTTTTATTGATTTACATGGAACCCAATCATGGTTAGATTCTTTGTTTTTCATGTCTCATTTTTTACTGAGCTATTTAATTTATAATTTTCACCAGAACTTTAAATACAGTCTCTTAAAGTCAATATTCGCACCTACCCAGCTTGTCAACCTGCAAGTCTTGCCTATTAGTGTTTACATAATACATACCTCCAACCTACACCATTGTAACAAATGATACACTGTCTGTTCCATAACAGACGAAAATGTACTACTAAACAACCTATTTTACTGCTACCGACAAATGTTTAGGAAAATCAATTTTCCTGGGTCAATCCAATCACGTTCAACCAATCAATCGAATTCGCTAACGTCCTTAATGAGTTGCTATTGCAATATAAATTGATGAATGAACTTTCATAGTACCTACCTATAAGTAAACTTGGCTTATAATAATGCCGACTGTCGACGTTTGGGTCTAGGAGGATACAAAGTCCATAATCATTTGGTTGTATCATACTTTTTTTAAAAGAGTAACGAATGGAGTTTCTTGCTCGTTCTTCTCCATTCGAATCTACTTTTTGGAATGAGGACCTAGTTTTACCTAGTTTCACTGACGGACTGACTGACAGACTATTATTTATTTTGTATTTGTTGACGTTTCAAAAGTACCAAACTATGGTTTAATTGAAATTGAAATAAATGCTTTGACTTTGACTTTGACTTTGTAGGTGGGAGCCCACCTCAAAGATGTCCTGAATCCTGTAAACACAGAATTCGATGTGTGGCACCAACGCGACGCAAGGGTCGCGATCCGCTCCAATGAACACCTTGCCTGTGAGAGGCCTAATATTTATATTTGTGAGGTAAGTATTTATGATTTTTTTGGTATTATTGAAGATCTTTACGAATAAATTTTATTTAGCAATTGGCTGTTTATTAGCTATGCCGTCATCCGGGTGATTCGTTCGAAATTGTGCAATTTATTTGGGTATGTCTTCTTCCTTTTGTTTGTTTTTTGTTTTACAGAGACAAATCAAAAATTGTGTATAGATCAGTCAGATATTTTGTCGGGATTAAGTTGCAAAAGACGAGTAGTAACTACTACCTACTAAGGTCCGATTTTTTATACAACAGATAATTCTTAACTATAGAATAAACTTGACATTTAACAGCTTTTAGTATGGAAGAATTGTCAAATATGTATTTAAAGTTATAGACTAACACGAAGGCTTTCTTATTTCTTATTATTAAAGAAGTAGTATTAGTTAAGAATTACTTAATTAAATAAAATTACCAGTATCGTACTATCTCCATTATCTTGTACCATCTATCTTGTATCTTGACGCATCTCTATAAACTTTTAGGAGCCACCAGAAACGGTCCCACCAGATGCAAGGAAGACCTGCAACTACCGCAATGTGCGTTACCATGAGCAGGTGTTCCGATGGGTGGCTGGCCGAGGATGCCTGTTATATACTCCAGATTTTCTCTACGTTGGAGGAGTCAACAATTTTAACCTGAATGCCGGGTGCTTCTATGGAAACTGGTTCGCACCATGCTTGGAAATTGTTAGTTCATATCATTATTACTTAAGTTAGGTATAATAGAGTGAAAAAATATTTTGTACAGTTTATGCCACCTGTAAAATTAGGTAAAGTTATCACTTGCTTTTAAAAAAATCTCAGCACGGAGTCTGGATTTGTGCCCGTTATATGGCAATAGGCTCACCCCCTATTATCTGGGACTCGTAACATAAATAGTGAAAAGTGGGTGTTACATTGTACAGTGGAATTAAGTGTCGTAATGGGCACCTCAGCTTATCCCTTCGGGGATAAAAGAACTGATGTTATGTTGTCTGTGTTATCGCCTGGTCGATCAAAATTCTGCAGAGCAGGGACTGCTTCTACTAATGTAATTCTGTCGATTGATCTTCTCAAATGAGAAGATTATCATAAAACACTACAGTATAATCATTATTGAATCGTTCGCTTTTGAGAAATTTCGAAGCTATAAAGCAGTTCATACAAATTACAGGGTCTCCCAATTTTATCTTTATTTCTATCAAACATAGTAAGTAGTACTTAGATAGCTATCTACTAAAATAGAAATAACATTGATAATACTAAGTGTTGTATTAGAAATTAGATTAACAATCAAAATTAGTTTTCCATTTCAGGATTCATCGTGTAAGTGAATGTACTGATGATTATCAGTGCGATAGTAGATCACTTGCAAAGATATTAATTTGAGATTAGTCCCGAACATTTAACGATATCTTGATGGTGTAGCCTTGTACCCGAAACAGAATTACTTGAGGTTTTGCGGTAGTTAAGACATCATGTTGCCTGTATTAGCAATTTGTGTAATAAGTTTAACTTCTGTGCATCTAACAAGCTAGTGAGTAGTCATTAGTTCTTACGCTAACTATTACGATTTTTCATGTCGTGCATACACCTATGCATTCATTACAATTTTGTATAAAAAACCATTTTTTGAAAGCCCGATTACCTAATTGGCTCTCCGCTCAGAATCTACTCCTCTGATTTAGGTTAATAATTCGTTGACAATAATTATAGTTTCCTTTTTACTTTAAATAAATTTCGATATTGGTTTATTTTTATTAATCAGGTTAAAAACATTGGAGTACATTTCTGTCACCATCAGTTTTGTTGAGTATCTTGTCGTTGCAGGCTAAAGAAGATGGTTCATGTGGCTGCTATCCCTTCGACCCTGGTCTGGAGGAGGTGGCCGCAGCAGTCCACGACGCATTAATCCCATCAGCACAAGGGAGATGGGAACGATGCTTTTACGCAGCAACTGACTGCTGCAGCCATTATATGCCCGAGAATCTTAATACTACTACAAGTAATATTTATATTTCTTATTCATTCAAGTTGAGCTTTAGATAGATAAGTGCCGTATGTACTACGTATTATGACGTAGGTGCTTTTAAATCAAGTTGCATTCAGATGATATGGCTAATGTAATTGTTTTGATTTTAACCTTCTCGTATTTTATTTCGTCTTTGTCTAAATCATCATTTCCAATTTAGATTGCAATAAATGTGAGCCAACGTTTGACGGCTGGACCTGCTGGCCAGAAGCTGATATAGGGACTGTGGCTACAGAAGTGTGTTCGGAGTTTGCTTACTCCAATAGTGGACCTTCTTGTCATCGTAAGTAACTAATTAATATTTAATGTGTGCAAGTTGAGTATTGATTGTTTTGCTTCATTAAATTTGTGGTTTTGTTGTTGAATTTCTAGTTTTCTTATCGATAACGCTACACAAAGGAACGATGTACCGCAGTCTTATTTTGGTACGCGTAGTATAATACTGTTTGGTACGCGTAGATTTGTACTTAGTTAATGTATAAATGCTTCAATGATAGAACTGATAAATCTTTGCCTACCCTTGCAAAACAATGCACATGCAGGTACATAACAGTAACTTCAGAATCTAAAATTATTATTCTTAGCCATAGTCTGAAGAAAAATAAGCTCCATATAGGTATTTTCCACATTTCCAGAAAGCAGCCTATGCAATGGAACTATTTTTCCATCAAAAAATCCAATCAAACGTTTTCGTGATTATCTACACTCTACTTATATTAGAGTAGGAGTGTAGGACATTCTACGCTGCGTTCTCGAAGGCGTGGCCTTAATAATTTCACCTTCATTTTTTATTATCTCATCAAGATACCTTTGGGTACACTTTCGCAATGCACGATGCAGTCTATATTTAATTTTGTATTTCTTATCTATTTCACGAAATTAAATAGGTACGCATTTTGTAAAATTAGACTCTGCTAAGAAGGATATTTGATTTCTTTTTGTTTCTGAATTCAGACGTACCTATAATAAACATTGAGTTTAATTATCCATACAGATGATGTAATACTAGTAACTTCCTACGGTAATCCTAAATTTAGAACCATAATCTGATGGAAAGTCTACGTAGTGTTCAATACTACCTAACAAGCTGAGCACTACTCACAAACAACCTCCATTTCAGACTACAGCAGCAAGCAATGCCACAGAAATGGGTCCTGGGAACTTCAGACAGACTACAGTACTTGCAGCATCACCCCTCGCCTCGTCCGTCGATACCAGTACTACATCATCGTCCTTTCTATCTCCATCGCCGCCTGCCTCCCAGCAGTCTTCATATTCTGCTTCTATAAGAGACTTAGAATACCTCGAGTGGTGTTACACAGAAATCTTCTTATTGCTATCGTAATAAGGAATGCACTGGTTATTGTCAGCAGAAGTGAGGTAAGTGAGAACAATGGCTGACATCACGCGCCGGATAATTTGGATTTTAGTACTATTGTGTCTGTAGTGAAATATTTACTGTTGTTGTTTACAATCAATTTTAAGTAGCTTTGCTTTTTGAAGGTGGATGTTTTACGTCGATTTTTGTTTACGATTATGAAGTCAATAAACAATGAAAGTTCTGTTATTATTTATTGAGGCAGTGACTTTCTAACTAAATTTCGGGTTCAATACGGACTCGAGTCATGACACTTGATCTATAAAAAGTTCCATTAGGTACTTAAATACTAGTGTTATAAAACTTAAAACGCAGCTTATCTAAATAGTAGAAATACACATTTCAAGTGCTCTCAGTACCTAAACACTCACAGCCAGCAGTAAAATGTATTAAAATAATCATTCTACTAAGCTCCTAAACTATACCTTGTTCTCTAGATCTACATAGACGAGCTAACAAGTTCAGGAGAGACGGTGATGTCGACGCACGGTGTTGCCTGCCGTATCCTAGCATTTGCCGAAAGAGTAGCAGGCAACGCAGTGTTTGTGTGCATGCTTGTTGAAGGGATCTACTTGCACCGCTCCATCGTCGCAGTGTTTAAACAGAAGCTGAAGATCAAATGGCTGTATGGTGCTGGAGCTGGTTCGTACAATTATCTCGATTATTAATTACGCAACATAACGTCACGTATTTTATCTCCATCACAAACTTGTTATCAGTTGTGTTACTTTAGTTGTGATTCTTTTGATATAATGGCAATTTTTTTATAATATTCGACATTCGGATACCTAATAATTTTATTAATTAAACCAGTCACAATCCACAACCAATTTAAACCTCAGTCGGTAACCATTTTTAATGATGAAAGAAATGATCCACGGAAGAAATTCTAATTGGTAGGTACTCTATCTACGAAAACTTTAGTTTATTAGACTGGCCATACAATTTAGACCGAAGTGCAGGAGTAGAAACGGGGTGGTTTTTAGTCAGTAAGAGTCTGAGACTGTCTCTCGCCTTACCCGCGCGGGAGAAGTCATTGGATGATATTCCGCCCTCAAAAAATTAAATAATATTTTACTTTATCTAGATCCATCTTGGACTGCCCAAGTTGGACACACATCTTGTTGTCTATGTCTATATCATACGCTTTGTGCATTAAGTATTAAAATAAATGCTTCAATGTAAATCTTGCTGGGCAAAAATGATCTCAACTACCAAGAGTATAATAAAAGCGTTTGTCTCCAGTGATAGCCCTAACTCCAGCAATATCATGGGCGGCAGTAATGGCAGTCCACAACGACCACTCGTGCTGGCTAGTATACACTGTACCACACATACAATGGATCCTCGACGTGCCTCGTATCGCCATTCTACTGATCAACACCATACTCTTCATTGATATCTTGAGGGTACTGCTGACGAAGATCAGAAACTCCGAGAATGCTAACCAATTGTGAGTGATGTTTTTTTGCATTTTCATCCATTACTAAAATAAAACGTCATCAATTATTATTATGCATCTTCTCCCCTGTAAGACGAAATTCTATCACTTTCTTTCACTTTTATCATTCTTCACAAAACTTACTGTCGTCACTTTTTGTCGTCCTCTATTTTTCCATCCTCTAAATCAGGGCTGTCCAAAATATATATCCTCGCGGGATAATTAAATTTCTTAGAAAAGCTGAAGGGCTAGAAAAATATTTTCAATTGTTTAACATTGTATTCTTTACTCACAGACAAAACTTGCATACAAATCATACACTGAATTTTATTATTGTTGTTGCACATAAGATGAAGATGTTGAGATTAAAACGTGTGTCGTGGGCCACATGAAACAAGTCGCGGGCTCCATGCGGCCCACGGGCCATTGTTTTGACAGCCCTGCTCTAAATAATGTTATTAGAGAAAGGTGTGGATTGAAAGATGATGTAGTAACAAGGGTTGAGAAGGGAATGTTACGCTGGTTTGGACATGTAGAAAGGATGGATGAAAGTAGAGTAATGAAAGATTATACAGAGCGGATATGAATGGGGCCATCGGTAGAGGGCGCCATAGACGGATGGGTACTGACCAGATTGGAGATATATTAAAGAAGGGCCAAATTAAAAGTACCCTTAACCGACGAGCATGCATGAACATACTGATGACTGTTGATGTCATAGTCTCTGTCTAACCCCATGGGACACAGGCATGAAGTAAGTACGTATGTATTTATTTTTCCATTATGCCTTATAGGGTGTCAATATTTTCAGACTCAATGACGTGATATGATACATATTATCTACACAGGGCCAATTTTTTTAATGCTCAGATAAATTTTAACTGAAGAATAACTTTGAATATTAATAATTTGACAATTCTTCCATACTAAAAACTGTCAGCTGTCAATTTTCTTCTACTGTTAAGGATTAACTGATGATTGAAAAATCGGCCCCAAGAATTTCAAAATTGAAAAGCTTAAACAATCAAGGAAATTCATGCTTAATTAAAGTGTTTACGTAGGTAGTATAGTTATAACTGTAGATAATTGCACTTACCTTATCTTTCATAGCTATAATACCCTCATAAATACCGCTAAGGATTAGTTGTATTTTCGTTGAATGCGTTAATCTTTTGGCTTATTATGTATTTAATCAGATTCAAACATATTTATTTAGTAGGTATGTACTTGGTAATTTTATTTTTAAGTAGCGACCCGCCCCGGCTTCGCACGGCTGCAATATTATATATATAAACCTTCCTTAACATCACTCTGTCTATTAAAATAACCGCATCAAAATCCGTTGCGTAGTTTTAAAGATCTAAGCATACATGGGGACAGACGGCGGACAGCGACTTTGTTTTGTACTGTGTACTGAAAAAGCTTTTCCAATATTATTCATCTAAATTATTAGGCTACTAGTTTCAAGCCATGCTACAGGGTCATATGACCCGCCACGCGGCGACTATCGCGCTGCTGCTGTACAGTATAAATGTGTTCGTTGTGGTCGCTGAGTGCTGGTCATGAATATGAGCTTGTAGCATGGCTTGAAACTAGTCGTGTTCCTCGTCAAATAATTACGTGAGTAAGCCGAAAAAAATAATAATTAATTAAGTATGGCTCACGAAAGTTATAACAGAATTCGTATCTATTGTTATAATAATTTCTTACCAGTAAGATAGTTCTGTACGCTACGTGGGTAGTAGTTGATAATTTGTATGAATATCGACCTTGTCCAAAACAGAGTCAAAATTATTCAATACCAGCTTAAGATTAGGTACAGAAATTAGGTTTTTAGGTCTCGATTATACTTAGATAATCCAGTTGTGAATCATATTGAAGAAATTTTAGACATAAGTCATCATAAAACATGAATTAACACGTTTGTTAGTAACTAAATGACACAAATTGTAATATTACTGCCTCATTGGCCTCGTTGGCCGAGTGGTCGCAAGTTTCTGGTTCGATTCCCTGGTCGGGCAAAGTGTTACTGGGTTTTTGAAAAAAAAATATCAGTAGTCTGGTACGGAGTCTGGAAATGTGCTCGATATAGGTATGGCAATAGTCTCACCCCCTATTAAATGGGACTCATAACATAAATAGTGAAAATTGGGTGTTACATTGTACAGTGGCAATAAGTGCCGTAACGTGCACCTCTGCCTACCCCTTCGGGGATATAAGGCTTGGATGGCAAGGATGTTATGTAATTGTAGTCAAGAAGAATCTAGTGCCATAAAATATTTAGAATCAAAACAAGCGAGGTCATTCAGGTACTTAAATATTTATACAAGTTCGTATTAAGATTTCAAATAATAATAGTAGTTTGACTATAGTTATTAGAGCAAACCTGCTAATAATTTCTACACATTGTGCAAGAAGTAGATAGTCTTCAATTTAATGTCCTACTTACTTTGAAAATGTTAAAATTGCACCGAATGTTGATCTGCCCGTGTTACAAAAGATTACAATTGACTGAAATCACTTAAAATTAGACCTTATGAACACTGTGATGAGGCTCAATTTATAGAAAAATGCAAAGATCCGATATCCGATCAATTGGACGAAAAGTTGCGACAATATTTTTTTTTATAATAACTATCGCGAGATATACCAAATTAACTAAAAATCGCGGGTTACTCACGTGAATATACTGAGAAAAGCTCTACTCTGTGACCCCGCATGCTGCTCATGACATGAGGAAGAACCGGGGGTCTCTTCCTCTCGAAACTAGTAGAGCTTTTCTCGATATTTTTTTGACCAAAATCAACACAGATTTAACAGTTCCGTTTAGTTTAAGGGGACGTAGTGTCTAACAATTATCTTTATTTATGTATGTTGATAGGAATATCGTATGTGTACCCACAAGATGATCCAGATATCCACGGCTGAACATAGGTCTCTTCCAATTAGAGCCGTTTTATCTTACCTACTAATATAGGTGTCCAGTTCACTAATCCTTCCTAAGTCAGGATTCCTCCCCTAAATTGAACTACAGAGAGCATTAACAAAATGTTATTTAGTTTACTTCCAAGCAAATCATTCAACTCCCTTCATTTTACAGGAGCACAGCAAAAGCGACCTTATTCCTGATGCCATTGTTCGGCACGCAGTTCTTACTGACTGCCTTCAGACCTAGCACTTCCAATTGCATCGAGGAACAAATCTATTACTACGTGTCTTATACTCTTGAGGGGCTGCAGGGCTTAATCGTCGCTATGATTTACTGCTACATTAATACTGAGGTGAGATTTTAATGTGTCTCTTATAAGTTTCAGACAATGTTTTGTTGTTGAAAAAAGTCCCATTCTAGATAAACCTAATCTTATAATGTTTTTTCGATCTGAAGTTCTTTGTTCGTAAACGATAACCGATGATAATGCCTATTTTGAGACCCTAATCCTTTTGCTCTAGGTCCGTGGATTAATTAAGGCGACATACAGAAAGACTGAAAGTGCTGTCGTTTCCCGAATACGAAGAGATTCCTCCTTCCCTCGTATGAGTCAAAGTTCCGACAGGAGGATTACCTGCAGTACTGGCCTACCGTCTAACGCAGCAGAAGAATCGAAAGACCAATACGCGACCATAAGGCCCAAGTTACACGTCGCTGAAATCATATCGATACAAGCCAGTGAACGGCTCGCTGAGATCTTAGAACCAGTGTACGAAACTATACAAAATGGAGTCACCAACGAAGGGTACGATTCACTAGACAGATCAGACCTGGACAACGACTCGGGCTTCATAGCCAACAGAGATTTCAAAGTAGAAGATTATTACGGTTTCACGAACGCATCGAGCGTTTCTATCGATTGCCAAGACTGGATCCGCTGCGTCTCATCACCTTCCAGTAGCGTTTACAACAACTCCTTAAACGATTATGAAACAAAATATTTGGAAAAGAAATTCCCAAATCATTCCAAACTTCGAGGCATTTGTGAAGTTCGCGAAAAGAATTCGGACCAAATAATTGCGAATTGGAATTGTATGGAGTATGCGGCTGCGCAATCGCAGCCATCTAGCGAAGATGTTAAGAAAGAGATCGGCCGTGAGAGAGAGCCCGTCGCCAGCGCCGGCGTCGCGAAGCCGGTCGACGACGGCGACTACGACGACTGCGAGAACATGTTCGAGGAGATCATGCAATACATAGAAACCACCGACAATCACAATACTAACACTAATACTAAAGTCACATTAGACCCCAATTGTCTTGCACCAAACCGTCGCGACGGAGATAGAATTGTATTTCTAGATGAATAAATCACTTAATTACAACTTGTTAACATTAGATATCACGAAATCCATTTTGTTTTCATATCTGCAGCGGTAGATGATAGTAAATGTTCAAGATAACACTATCAGTATTTCCTGAAATCAACACAATTCTTTATGTATTTTAAATTAATCGCTTTAAATTAGGTACTAAGCACATTCCATTTTAATTTTAATTCACTATTTTATTATTCTAGTAGATAAATAAGCTATTACTAAGGTACCGAACACTAGCGGAACAATTCACTTCATTTGTATGTAAGAACTGATTGATGTTAATTTTATTCAGTTTTATGTCCTTAACTATCCAATCTTAAACAAAACTGTAAAACGTCTAACTAATTACTATTATTATCTTACTATAAAAAATATATGAATAAACATTATGCATCAGAAACTCGACTTTAATTTTCATTCAAATGCACGTGATCTAAGACAGACATATAGACAGATATACGCAATATATGAGTAACGATACGATTTCGGCACTCCCAAACATCATACCAGTAAACATTAATTGATGTATCAAAGTTGTACAAAGATCTAGATCCTTTCGAACTCGGCTTACAAAACCGAGTGCGGCAACTTACTCATGCACAGTCGAACGCGAGGTGTGCAGTTGTTACCTTTCAATTACCACTTACTAACTGACCATTAGCTAGTAACTTCCCAACTTAAGTTGGTTAATCAAATATAATGTTTACCAAGCTATTGTTAGGGTTAATTTTGTGTTGGGGTGTGTCGAGTTTCCCTGACGGGGCTCCGATCGACACGTGTGTAAAGAACCGTGCTAACCAGCCTAATCACGGACAACATAGGACTCAACCCTTGTCCAGTCTACCGTACAGGGTGCTCGCATCGGCGCTGGTTTACGGCCCAAATACTCCGGTCACAGGTAACGTAAATAATTCCCACCATTGTCTCGATATAAGTAAATTGTTTTTATAAAGATTATTTACATGTACGGACCTATTAAGTATGAATAGTATGTATTTGTCTATTATTTTTTACTTTTAAAGAATAATTTAATTCACCTATGACGCCTAAGCTTCTTTACATGTTTTTATTAAAATATCTCCCTTAAGTCTATTGGCGAAGTTAAATAAATAGGATTTCTTTGTTTTATTTTTAAGTTGTTTACATTATGTTACTAAGCTCCTTAATCAAGTCGGTGCTGTACTTAGTTAATATCATCGGAAACATTGTAAGTAGTTAAATACGTATGGATACTGTGAAAAAATGAAAAAGTAGTTTTTTATAATTCATTAAGTAATGATTTTTGTCATCATTCTGGCAAACATCGATTTATGTAAGTAGGTATTTAAGTTTTGAAATAAGCTCATCAATCATTTAGAATTAAACGTCTCGATTGTAATAAAATATCAAAACAGAATCAAAAATCAATCTAGAAGCATCGATAACATTCTATTAAGTAACTACTTATACTACAGATGAAAGTCGAAACATGTCATTCATTCATCATTTCATCAACGATTATTGAAAGGAGCTAGCTTTCGCAATCAGAGACTAATGTACCTACTTAAAAACGATGTTTACAAATTACTATGCTAACCTCCAAATTATGCAAACGTTACATTCAATAAACTATGTAGGTACCCACTAAAACGGATATATCCAACAAAGGTTACAAGATAAAGCTACTTTTGTAGTAATAGTTACGTTCATTGATAAAATCTACCGGTAGACAGTGAGTGCGTAACACACGTCCGATTACACAAGACATTCTGAATATGGTATTGTAGGTCAAACAGGCTATGGCGGTTCAACCGGTTCGTTCCCAAACGAATTGGGGTAAGGGTGACTAAATAGATCTTTGAGAATTTATCATTTGGAAGAAGAAGACCTTAACGGTCTAATCTACACACAATTAACAGTTCTAGGTAGAGTACTTATACCAAGTAATTTAGTATGCTGTCAAGATTGAATCAGAAACAGAGGCAATTATTCTTATAATAAGTAAATCATGCGTGCTTACTACATACTTCTTACATACTTCGTCCGCGTAAAATAGGTATGATTTCTGTTTTACCTCATGAGAGCATTTAATCGGGATAAATCCTATAATAACCGAAGTCAGCCCATACCTTGGTTGTATAGGTACCAAATTTCATCAAAATCCGTTGAGTAGTTGCAGCATGATCGACGGGCAAACATTTAAGGTAATATTTATTTTCCTACTTGCATACCAAAATGTTTAGATCGTTTTGTGATTTAGCGAGCGTTAAACGTTCGCATAGTTAGACATACAACATAACATTACGCCTTTTATCCCCGAAAGGGTAGGCAGAGGTGTACACAGCACTTAATGTCACTGTACAATGTGACACCCACTTTTCTCTACTTGTGTTATGAGTCCCATGTAATAGGGCCTATTGCCATATACCGGGCACAACTCCAGACTCCATGCTACTACTGCGATTTTTTTTTAATAATACCCCAGTAATACTTTGCGTGACCCGGGAATCGAACCCGAGACCCCTTGCCCGGCCAGTCGTAATTGCGACCATTCGGCCAACGAGGCCCTATAGTTAAAATAATTATATTAAGACTCGTGACAAAAAGTAATTAAACGTATACCTGCCGTTTAATTAAAGTTACTCGCAATAAACTGAAATAATTCTTTCGCCTCTGAAAAATAAAAATTGTAGCACGTCAAAGAAATTAAATACGACAAAGTAGACTTACCTATTGATTCATGAAATTCAGGTCTTGTGATTTAGACATTCTAAACACAGAAACTTTACAAAACTAAGTTTTCGTAGTAATTAGATAGTTAGGTACCTAAATGTAATTATAACTGCAAAATAAAGTTAATTTTAACTTGTAAACATTGATTAGTCTACGAATCTTTCACAACTTACAATACTTTTATGGGGGTATGTACTTAGTACTATAAAGGTTAATGAGAAAAGATTATATTGAATTGTTTGGATCCAAAAATACTGGAACGATATCAAAAATTTATCACAATTCACAATAGGAAAACTTACTCTCTAGGGACTTTTATGAGGACGATAACGAAGCCGTAGAAAACTTAGTTTGGTCATCATTGATCATTAAAAAATTATCATTAACATTACATCTTATCTTATACTCTTATACTATTATATGTATAAAGCGGAAGTTTTTTTTATTTGTTTGTTTGAACGCGCTAATCTTCGTAACTACAATTCTGATTTGAATAATTCTTTTTGTGTTGGATAGCACATTTATCGAGGATGGCTATAGGCTATAAAACATCACGCTACGACCAATAGGAGCTAAGCAGACCGTGTGAAACAGCGCGGAAGTATGAGTAGTTTTTGTGCTTTTTGTTAGGGAGCCTGGGCATCACGACACAGGGAACCCTAGTGTGAGGTTCAGGACACAACAATGTACTATTTTTTGAAATAAACATTATTCTTAACTTAACAACAAACAAGCTCACATCACGAAAAAATACTTTACAGTGACAATAGAAGGATCAGAGCCATTCAAAGGATTCTTCATTCAAGCGCGTTCAGTGGAGCACGACAACTGGATAGGGGCGTGGGAACCGGCTCCGAACACGACCATACATCCAGAATGTTCGTCCATCACACACGGTGACCCTGAGTTCAAGACGAGGGCTACTCTGTTATGGAGAGCACCCCCTGATGCACATGGAAGGGTGTATTTCACGTAAGTATTAATTGAAGTGGTTTTGTAAGTACCTATTTAATACGTCGTCTTTGTTATTTTCGATTTATAATTTGTTTTGTTTGACAACGAAGGGGTAAGGTAAAAAGAAGTGTGTTAGGCATACATTACCACTTATAAACGTACTTTCTAGACGACACTACACATGAATAGAATGATAAGTAAATGGGAGCCTTATTAATTTTCATAGTCTAGACTAGAATAGAGTCCCAGACCAGAGGCTTTAGTACGATTTTCTTTTTCGTTCAAAGAATTCGTAACGAATACGCGTTCGGCGCTGTGATTGGCCGGCTCCAATGAACAAACCAATCAGAACACCGAACGCCGTCTCGTTTCAATTACTTTTACCGAAAAAGAAAATCGTATTATGACCTCTGATTACATCGATCGAGATAGAGTTCGAGATCCAGATTCGTGCATATGACAAAGTAGTACATGTAGGGTCAATCCTGAAATATTTATGGTGGGTAGGTACTTATCTAAATAACTACCGTAAGTTAGTTCGTATGTGCTTAGTTAGACCTTACGAAACATCTTAATTATATCGATCGCAGCTTCCAAGTTCTAACAAGTTAATTGAAGTACTTAAATCGAGATCCGTACATGGATTTTGAGCTAAAGCGTGATAATGAGGTTGTCGACCCGTGCCCTAATAGCAGCTCCTTTCACTGCACATATACATGTATGTGGCACTTGCGTAACATCAATGAGCTGTCAGCATTAGTTAACGTAGGTTGACCTTTAGATAAACTTCATACGTAGAATATGTATCAATCGAGAATGATCATACAATCATACGTTTACTCTACATTAATTTGAAGCGCTCACATAATAAGCCTTGAATTTATTTTTTATGAAGTAATTGCGCTGTTAGCCATCCGGTGACTTGCCTTTTCGAGTTCTGTTTATGAATTTTATGATACCAACTTTTGTAATGTTTCGATTACATTATTGAACATTAATCAGCAAGTTGGAGATATTGAGACGCACAGACGCCAGCATTGCAAACTATCATAGACTGGCAAAATTATTCGACTGATCTTCAACTTTAATTCCAAATGATAAGGTTGAAAATTTAAACTAATTTGACAAGTTGCGGGTATCTTGATGTGCCATGTTTCGCAAGGTTTTAGCACAATTGATAACCCGGAGATGATTGTTAAAAAACTAGATTCTACGAGTGTGTTAATGGTGTAATAGGTCAAATTTTTGTGTAAATTTCAGTAAAAAGAATTGATGTGTCATTCTATTATGTGTTGGACGAATGTAGATAGCCGCGTGGCAGACGACTTCTCGATAAACTGTGCTAACTGTTCGTAAACAATGTATAAAAACTTAAGACACCTATTTTTTTTCCAATTAAAATCGAAATAATGTACAATTTAGGCATTTTGTCTGTCTGTATTGACTGATATTTTATACCGATACAGAAGCATATAGAATTTCTTTAGATTCTGAGCTACATGATGAAAGTAATCAAGGCCAGTGATCGATGTAATATTTTTATACATTTCTACCCTCAACAAGGCTCATCTTAACCACTGAGGGCTAACATTTTTTATTCACCAGGTGACGCTAATATAATGTCTGTTTGTCCAATAGAGAATTGGCTAATGTCAAACAAAGTGATTGGATAATTAGATCTAATGCTACATTTGTGCCACCTAGTGGTTAAAATGGCGGCCCTCTTTTTAATATTAAAAGAAAAACAACATTACCACGTGAAGCCATACATAGAATCTGCAATCGATATACTGAACATTACTACCGCAGCCAATTCATAATCTCACATCACGTCATGACCTGCACGCGTGTCACTAGCCGACTCTAAGGCGTCCTGTCCACGACTCGTCATTTAACGATTGCATGCAACCTACATATACGCCGCCGCCGAAGACAGGCCGTATACAATTGCTGCTTCGTGAACAGTTTTCATTGTGTCTAACCAAGATACGAGCATTTATCATTCGTAGGCCGCCTACTGTCATTTGTAGGTTGCATGCATTCGTCAATTGACGCGTCGTGGATAGTAGACGTAAGACCAGTACTATACATAGAACGATACTCAAGCGAAGATCTCAAATATATTAAAAAGGGATGCAAATACATTCAAGAGATACGTGCATGTAGTGCATCCCTTTCTAACTATGCCTGAGTACAAATCTCCACTAGATTATCGATCTATAGTACCAGCCTAATACTCGCTACCGTATTTATTAATCTAATTAATAAATAATCACTCTTATTGCCTCATCTAATAGACAGTTTCTGTAAACATATTATATGACTGTCTCCCTCGTGTCATGATTGAATAACATATTTCTGTTTACAGCGGCACTGTACTGAAGAACTACGGTACTTTCTGGTCCAACCTCATCGCTGAAGCACCACAAGACCCATCACAACTCCAGATACTTGGGTGAAAGGAATGTCAACTCTATGCTTTTGGTGACAATGTCGAAATTGCTTCCAAAAGTGGTTGCTTTAAACGTTGTATTTACTGTTAGCGTTCGAATACTGAAATGCTACTAAATTTTAAATTTCACTTAAACATCGTTCTATCTCTGTCATTTTATAAAGAATTTGTAGTGACAGAACTATTCTTGATAGCGTTTTAAAATTGAATAGCGTTTGAGTATTAGACAATTAGGTTTACTAAAATGTAAATAAAACTAAATATAAATAAATAGATAAGTATATTAGAATTGTATTGAGTAACATAAATGCACATTCATTTCATATCAAGATCCACCAATTTGCCGAGAATCTATTTATCACAAATTAGCAAAACGTGTACATATCATTATCTGACATCGTGTTAAAATATTATTACAGTGTCAAATGTCGTTACTGATAAGCTCTATATGTATAAAAAAATATGAATCTCATATTTCTGTTAAGGTACGTTTTCACTGAGAGGATGTTTGTTTTCAAGACGTGTTACAGCTGAGTAATTGTTTTGAGACCTAATTAATATTCCTGCTACGATATCAAATATCATCTTTTGTTCTAAATAACACTTTTGTTTTTATAAATACAACAGCAGTTGTAGCCAAATGCCATTTAGCGCTTGTCTACATGTAGAATAGAAAACCAAATTATATGGAATTGACGTAAATTTTGACACTTGTCAGTGTCATCTTATATTTTGATTTCTACTCTCTCTGTACACAAGCGCTAAAGTGGCGTTTGGCTAAAGGCACTGTATATTAAACCATTCGCAGTTATTACTCAGCAGTTATTCAAGAAACAGAGGTCTCTAGAGTTCTAGAGTTCTCTATCAGAACAGTGACTCACATTCAAGATGCATTTCATTTCCACAAGTCATCTTGATTCACACATTTGCTCAATGAAAACATACTTTAACACAAGTACATAGCACGTATTATCACATTAGCAAGTTAATATAACGATATTTCTTCAGCGGGAAAGAACTGAATGATGCAGTACCGAGTTACTTGCAATCATCAATATAATCATTAAAGACCAGATTGTTCGTTATTTATGACAAAAGTGAATAATAATGTATTATTTACTACTTATTAAGTAGAATTATCATAATAAAGGACGTCCGAATTTCAATGTCATTGCACTAGAAATTCAAGAATACATGAATTTATTAAAGTGCAGACTGGTTATTGATAAAGAAAAAAACATTATTCGTGTTTTTTTTTAACATTACTATGAAATCTCAGTTTCAAAAATGTATTAGTAGACAATGTGTTTACATAGTTTAACAATTCAAACACATTTTATGAACATATGAAACACATAATAATTTTGCATAAAATTACTATTATTATTTTATTTTGTTGAAAACAAGTTTACATTAGATTCTTTCTCAAACATAACCTACAAAATTTTAATAAGCACCCGCACCACAACAGTACAAGTCCGATGCCTAAACCCATGGATTTCTGGGGGAAATTGCTTTTTAATATTGGACAAACTCGTTCAATCCGGTCTTTAATGCAATCCTTCATACAATAAAGCTATACAAAGCGTTAGTATGTGCTACAAAATAAAAAACTTCGTTACAATCTTACGCTCCCGTTTTTTGTTTCATGACTGGTCTCTTTATGTCCATGAGGTCACACAGCTCGTTCCTTATAGGTCTAAGTTCTGATACCTCTCTCTCCCAGTCCGTTTCTGCGAGCACTGACATTATCTGTGAAAGAGGAAGTTGCATTAATAATGATTAGATACAGGTGCACAAAGAAGCATACAATATAGTATCAAGCATTTTCTTCATTGAAAATCATGTAGAAGTACATAAAATGTAACACATTTTTCACCAATTATGTTATGAGAGCTATTCAGGGATTTCAGAATCCGCGTTACTAGAGAGACTTTTGGAAAACTAAAAAAAATAATAATACTTTGCCCCACTTTTTGGGGATTGAATCAGAAACCCTTAATATGTAACGCTTACGACAGCTCGAACGAGATAGTCAATAAGAATTTCAACTAACTATTTTGTCAAGAAAGACATTGCAGCCTGCATAAAAGCATCTGAATGTTTTTTAATGAAGTGCCTACGGTTGTTTAAGTGGCAGCAGCTGTGTTTAGTAAGTACCTATTATTTGCTGTGGGTACTCGACCCGTCGAACTATTGTCTTTTTATGATATTAGGAAGTTAGTTACTATGGGTACGTCGGAATGAAGTATGGAAAATTAAATATGAAGTGTGAATTATATGGTAGCCCTTTATCTGTTGAAACACCGGCTTCCGGTATAAAACACATTAGGTATACCCGCAACTTTCAACAGACAAGAGAGTATTTGACAGTTAGTCAAATTCAATACTTTTATTGAAATGTCAAAAACGATACTTTTCTATTAATTTTGTATTAGATTATTACGCGAGAAAAAAACCAAAAGTAGGTAAACTGTCAAATTAATGGATGATGATGATGATTATTATTATTTTTTTTTAATTAATTATTGCATTGAAAAGTTGAAAGAATTTATTTTAAACCTAGGAAACTAGCCAATTATATTTTTTAAATCAATCAAAGTCAACGTATATTAAGTATTAACCAACTCGAATATCGTTGGTCGCAGCCACGCCTAGTAACTGATGAGATAGCTACTGGCCTACCTAGCACATTAAGAAATGAAATATAAAAAAGAAAGCTTAGTTACTTCCTTTTGAATATATAAAAAAGCCTAAAATCAAAAAATGAATTGAAACAGATCTCATTGTTAATGTGTAAGTATAATTCTCTCAGACTTACTGGAACTAATTGCTGATAAATCTTCGTACAAGTGCATCGAACTATAAGTCGTTGACTGAAAGCGGTTTTTTAATCAATTTAAACATAATTATATTCCTGCACTATCAAAATTTTGTGTATTGTCGTCGACGTTTGTATCATTGCGCTGATATACAAATCATTAATCCCTATTTGCTTCGTTGGCCGAGTGGGCGCAAGTGCGACTGCTGGTCAAGAGGTCTCGGGTTCGATTCCCGGGTCGGGCAAAGTATTACTGGGTTTTTAAAAAATTCAGTAGTAGCACGGAGTCTGGAAATGTGCCCGGTATATGGCAATAGGCTCACCCCCTATTACATGGGACTCATAGATAACATAAATAGTGAAAAGTGGGTGTCACATTGTACAGTGGCATAATGTGCACCTCTGCCTACCTCTTCGGGGATAAAAGGCGTGATGTTATGTTATGTAATCCCTATTTTCATTGGTCACGGTCACGGCGCGGCTGGACGAATTTCGTTCATTTATTATATGCAGATATAAGATTATCCCTAAGGCAAACTAAACAGGTGCCTAGGGCGCCAGGATCCGGGCGTCGCAAGTACGAGTCTGCGTACGGTGAGCAAGGGTAGCTCGCCGCCCGACCAGAACCAGACCCGTGAGCCATCAGATCACTACAGATGGGGCCCAGTAGGGCTGATGCCCGATACGGAGTCGGCGGAAGGCCGAAGAGCAGGAGTAGGAACAGGGTGATTTTTGTCAGGTTGCTCATAGGTAGGCGTGCTCCATCGTCGAAGTTTAATTAAAATATCACCGGCATACCACCATGCGAGATAGTGGACAAACGTCAACCGATCAAGCATAAAAAAGTCACAGAGGAGCGCGAGGGGCTTCCACGAGAAGCGTCTCGTGGAAGAGTCGAGAAATGTCCAATTGACCAAAGAATGGCAGCGGCACCATAAATAAATAATTATTGGTTGCCAAGGGCGCTCTCTAGATTTTATTCGCCCCTGTTTAAGTGTGTAATATTCACAGGGGACGATTTCATGAAAGAAAAACATAAAAATTGACGGTAATAACAAATAGTAATGGAATATCACAGTCTGATACACATAGTCACATTCATATATTGTGGCATCCACGCTTAATGTACATATACAGTACTATTTCCTAGAAAAAAGGGGGAATACACTCGCGCGAAACCAGGATGGGGCTAACTAGTGTTTAACTAGAGTAACCAAGTGAATAGGTTGCTTATGGGACGACGTGCACCATCGTAGACAGCATTATCACTTACCTACCACCAGGTGAAATAGTGGTCAAACGTCGTCCCATCAAATATAAAAAAAATAGGTATATACTAGTTAACAATAAAATACTATCATCAGAAATTACAACGCGTAATAAATACATATATACGCAATTCACATACTGATTACGTAAAAGAAATAGCACAAAAACAATATGTAATTTTTTAAATAACCTTTTGGCTTCTGACCACCAAAGATATTTTGGCTACTCATAGTATCATGTAGTTTTTATCCGGATGGCACACTCTATCTGTTTACTTTTTAGACCGAAAGCTGGCACGTGTAAAGAAACGTGCTATGATTAGCGAAATAACTATATAAGATTTTTGACTGCCTCGTTTGCCGAGTGGTCGCAAGTGCGACTGCCGAACAAGGGGTCTCGGGTTCGATTCCCGGGTCAGGCAAAGTATTACTGGGTTTGTAAAAACCTCAGTAGTAGCACTGAGTCTGGAATTATGCCCGGTATATGGCAATAGGTTCACGCCGTATTACATGGGACTCATAATGTGGGTGTTACATTGTACAGTGGCATTAATAGCCGTAATGCCTACCACTTTGGGGATAAAAGGCGTGATGATATGTTATAAGATTTTTGTGTTGTACATGTCAAATGTGGGTGTTACATTGTACAGTGGCATTAATAGCCGTAATGCCTACCACTTTGGGGATAAAAGGCGTGATGATATGTTATAAGATTTTTTTATCTGTAGGTATTCTACCAAAAATGCATTTTCAATTAATGTAATAAGTATCAATGTAACAAATCATCATCGTCCTGATATCAGTCTCAAGACGTGCATTACTGAACATAATTATAGGCCGCCGAAATGACTTCCAGATAGGCTGGATGGAATTAGAAGTGACCTGCATCCAAGGGCTTCCTGCGACCTAAAGGAATGTAGAACTTCCACAAGGAAGATAGACCGGGTCGTCTATCTTCCTTGTAGGTGCACAATATTATCTAATACCTTCATGCGAGCAATTCTTGTATACTTATCAACGATATCGAAAACGGCGCCAGCGATTTTTATTTAATTTTGATTGATCTTGATTGTATTGGCTTTCGGGGGCGGTAAATCGCTCTAACTAGGTTTCATTTTCGGAAAATGTCGTTTTCTAAAAAGAACACCGCCGAGCTAAGCTCGGTCATCCAGGTACTAATTAATCATTACACTTACAATACAAATGCAAGTATATTGTTAGCATCCACATAATATTTCCTTATGGTTGATATTGACGCCTGGCAACACAGGAAAAAGGCGCGAACATAGAAATCAATGTCAAAGTTTTGACATTAAGCATAATTTTGTTGAAAAATGTTATGTCGTGTTTTAGTTGGCTACTTTATTAATTAAAGTATTTTATAGAAAGACTCTTAAAGTATCTTTTAATAGTAGGGGAGCCCACGATGCTAAATTTGGATTTACTTGAGCGTCGTTGGGACCTATTGGATTTTGAAGATATGCTGATAGAATGAAGAAATGGTTTCGTGACAATTTCTTCCACCGGTGGGGGAAGGGGGAATCCACAGATCTTTGAAATTGTTAAGCGTAACTTTTGTTCTAGTGGTCGAGCGTGTCAGATATTGATAGTGTACATGCTCCATGTGTATTTAATAATAAAAAACTCTTAATCTGCTAGTTTGCATGGTGGGGTTGAATGAATTATTTAGAAATTATTAAAAATTAAATTTTATTATGTAATTATTTTTAAAACATATCTTTGCATGCCAAGTTAAGGCAAAATATGGAGAAACTATAAACTTTGTTAACACCTATATATTATGTACCCATGTTTGCAAATGATTAAATGAATATGAAAATATGAATATGAATATGAATGTTCTGGAGAGTATAAACGAGAACCCTTCAAAATCCCCCCACTCTTGCAAATCAAGTTGGAATGGACAGATTTTTTTAACGCACTTCTTTTAGAATGGTATTGACCTACCTTCCCTTAATCTGACGAAACTGACTTTATTTAGTAAGACCGTTTTTTAATTTTTCGTCCCCCCCTTCTAATCAGATCGGATATATGGTAGGTATATTCAACATGACACTAGGTTTTCCCCATATGTTAATCTGACGCGCTCGAGTATGTACCGAAATCCCTTCTTGGGCTCCCCTACTATAATATATAGCGATAACCAACGCGATAAATCGAACCTCTACCTTCTACTAGTCGGTTAAAAATGAATTTTAATTAAAATATCCTTTAAACATTCTTCAGCTTATAGTGATTAATAACGATTGACTCTTAAGTTTAACTTAAGATTTAAATTAGTTACTAACTCATTTTTAAAGTACTTATTAGTTTTTTTTGTCCTGATACTACTACAAATAATTTAATTTTTATACATGACGTCAATAAAGATTAGAAACTATTATTTAAATTAAATGAACAATTGACTGAACGTTAATACTGACACTAACAAAAATGTTTTAGTGTGATGTGCGTCATTGTAAGATTAGTACCTATAAAGATTTTAATGCTAATTTATTGTTAACTTATGTAAGGACTCGTATAATTATGTTTAATGTCTAATATATCCGTAATAGACTATCGAGGTGTAAATAGGATAGGAGGATTCTTGAATATTTACTATTATAAAAAACCAGTACCCAAATCTGACGTTTTCTATTTGATTTCAGAAAGTTATTGTTTATTACCGACTTCATTTTGTTACTGTTGATAGATCTGGAGTAGGCTCGGAAAAAACTGTTTAATGTTGGAAATTCCTATCAGCATTAAATTGCGCGCTAACTTTCGCGATATAGCACATGTGGCGCCATCTATTGGTAGGATCGTCAAACTTTTGTTCTACGTGTGTCGTTACACACAGATAAAATAACTTTCTTAACATGTTCACCTAAGTGTGGGAGAGACATGCTTCGGTACCAATGGGCTGGCTCAACCGGAGTGACATCAGGACTTCACAGAAAACCGACGTGAAACAACGCTTGCTTTGTGTTTCGTCGTGCGAGGTTACCGGAGGTCCAAGTACCCCCCCCCCCTTTCTCAATCTCCCCAATACGTAAATCTCCAACCATACTCAAATTTATAATCCCTAAAAGGCTGGTAACGCACTTGTAACGCCCCTGTCCATGGGCGACGCCTTACCATCAGGTGATCCGTCTGCTCGTTTACCGGCTCATCTCACAAAAAAGGACGACCACATAGCAATCAACAAGGCAGTCCTACAAAACCTATTAATATTATAAAAGCAAAACCTTGTTTATAACTCTTTCATGCAAAATGTACTGAATGGATTTTGATGAAACTAGGCAGACTGGAATAACACATAGGCTCCTTTTTACCCAGGTAACTGGTAGAAGGTAGTAAAATCATATTTTTCTTTTTAAGAAAACGTTGCCCCACTCTAGGATTTTCTCCTGTGTCGTGGGTGCGTTTACAAACATACAATATCACATACACATGACACCCAGATTCAAAACAACAATCTGTGGCTCACACAAAGTCTTTGTGTTCCGCGCCAACCGTGCAGTCATCTATTAATTCTATTAGACATATATGAAATACCTGGTCGATATTATCCTGTGGCACGGAGCAGACGTCTCCGTAGAGAGTGAGTGCCTCGTACAGCCTGGCCGCGGCGCAACGACGCACGTAGCGGTCCGCGTAGCACAGGTATATCACTAGCTGGCCTAGCGACCTACTGCAAACTACTCCACCCACCTGAATAAGAGAAAAAAATAATGGATATTTGTACAGGCGTATTTGAGAAAATATGTGTAAAGCACTACAAGTATGGGGAGTAGCGTTTACGCTTCAAGTTGGTGCCGAAAGGTGTAACAATCTAGTGTTTAAAATTTTCCTTTACACTTTAGCACTGAACTCTGCTTGAATTGAGTTTAGTCTTAACGCCTCGAGCGTCCTTATGAGCACCCGATGGATCATAAGAAAAAATGCTCCATGCTGCTTTCTCTTTTATAAAATCTATTATTAATGTTTTGTTTTTATTTTGACTGTATTTTTTATTTATATTGTAATGATCCTTGTTTTCGTGTGCCAATGGCCAAATAAATGAATTTTCTTTCTTTATTACTTTCTTTCTCCAAATGTCACTTGTGCACCCGTTGGATCATAAGGTACGCGGACGCTCGACGGGTTAAGGATAATACAGCCACAGTATATTTACTACAACAATATAGGGCGTAAACGATAAGGATGTGCCACCAGTCTTGTTCATGACACCAGCATTTCTTAACTTTCGTGAGACATACTAAATAAATTATTATATTTTCGGCTTACTCACGTAATTATTTGACAAGGAACTAGATTAGTTTCTAGACTGTCGCGCTGCTACTACAATGCAGTGCAGCACGACAGTCGCCACGTCTGTCGCCACATGAACGCCACGCCACCTCTAGCATGGCTTGAAACTAGTCGATTTCCTCGTCAAATAATTACGTGAGTAAGCCGAAACATAATAATTTACAGTCAAAACCGCTTACAACGACATCGTTTATAACGACAAATCGGGTACAACGACGAAATTTTGAGGTCCAGTCTATTGTCTTATAAAGCATAAAGATATTGGTTATAGCGACTATTGGTTATAACGATCATAATTAACCGGTCCCTTCGATGTCGTTATAAACGGTTGACAGTATATACTATTGAATGTCCCAAAAAAGAGACACATTGAAACACAAAAAATATTGTATTTCGATGTTGACTAACCTGAATAAGTTGACATAAAACATTGATAGAATCTAATAGCTTGTAGATGTTCTTTCCACCTCGAAGTTCCAGTTGCAAATGCTTCAGTATGTCCATAGCGAACGTCGACTCAGGGTCCTCTAGTATTGGTGATATAGAACCTATAAAATGTTAAACGTTAGTTTTCTTTTAATTTTTACACTTTAGAGACATAACATACCATAACGTCACGCCTTTTATCACCGATGGGGTATGCAGAGGCGCACATTATGCCCATGTAATAGGGGGTGAGCCTATTGCCATATACCGGGCATAAGTCCAGACTCCGTGCTACTACTAAGAATTTTTTTAAACCCAGGTACAAAAAGGTATTACCGTGCCCGACCCGGGAATCGAACCCGAGACCCCTTGCCCGACAGTCGCACTTGCGACCACTCGGCCAACGAGGCAGTAAACTTTAGAGCACATTCTAAAATTCTATTTTAATTTAGGTGATAAGAAATGGAATTATTGTCATTTGCCACATAATCTCTTACCGTCAGTAGTAAAGTTATGTGGTATAGTTATAAAGAAAAAATATCAAACTACTTAATTTTAACCCTTTGAGTACCGTCATTATATACACAATTAAAGAACAATAGGTTGCGGTCACCGATGGCCGTGCGGTGTTTGACAGTTTAAACAATTTCGAATTAAAAGTTCGTTAATTAAAAAATAAAAAAAAAATTAAATGTTTGTTTCGAAATTCAGTATTTCATAATGAGTCAGTCATTCTATTCTCAGTAAATCTGTCAGGCTTTCCCAGTAAAGTTAATCAGTTCAATTTTACTACTACGTTCCTAAATAACTTCTTTACCACCTACAAAAACAGGAGGACAGGATGTCTTTGATGACCTATAGTTCTGATTTGGCATTTCTTCTCAGAATAGTCAGATAATAATAATCCACTGGTTCACTTCCTAATAATGTTTTAACTCCTCACCTGAACTCAACAATCGATCCAAGAAATTGAACATAGGTCCAGTTATCCTCTTGACGTGGAGATTATCAGCAAATACTTTGATGATGGTGTCGCATATTGACTTCAACATTTCTTTGTTATCATGCAATGTGTTGAGGTAGGCGTAGAGAGACTGAGTTGTGTGTTTTACCTGGGAACAATATCGGAAGGTTATTGGTCGGTTGTCGCGAAAGTTGGTCATGACTATGGGTCCCGAGGATAGTATGAAACTAGTCGAGGTGGAGCAGTTAAGGTGCCTACTGTTATACATGCTAATTTCAAGCACGAAAGCATGCTTCAATCGAGCACTTGTCACTTAGTCATAATTTTCGGAATGTTGCTTAAAATTAGCATGCTCATATCGGGCATGTTTCCGAATCGACAAGCATTCGATTTTTGAAGGTCAATTATCGGAATACTCAAACGCTACTCAATTTTAAGTCGCGCTTAAGTATAGTTCTGTCTTCACAAATTCTTTATAAAATGACAGAGATGGCACGATATTTAAGCACGACTTAAAATTAACAAAACATACAAAATTGTACCAGGCAAACAGACAATGACAGGAGTTATCAATTAACAATCTTTAGAGGTACGAGTAACGTTTCAGTATTCCGGCAAATATATCGCGTTTTAGTATGCTATTTTAGAACATGTGTAAACAGTAGGATTTTATATTTGATAGGCCCGAGGCCGATCTTTACGTAAGTCGTACAACATAATATAAGTATTGTATAATACGGAGGCTTTCTGTAGTAGTTTTTTGAAGATTAAACTTATCGAAAACATGATGTCACCCGCACTATAAAGTGCGTAACCTGATATAATTTTACCAATTTTACTATTTTAAAAAACTATTCTAATAACGAACAAAACTACATACCAAGCTCTCAGTCAACTCGCCACCGCTGACAACCAGTCCCTTGATAACATTATACCGATAGTCCGGATAATTCAACAATTGTACGAATCTGGGCATCGTATGCCCGGGGAAGAGCCACAGTACTACGTTAGTGTTCTCACTGGTCATTGTTTGATCTTCCTCTATTTCCTTCGCTGGAGGCTTCAGTTCCACTTCTTCACATGGAAATATGCGTTTCAAGGCATCATGGTGAGGTATGTTCGTGATTGGTGGGTCACTGTAAAAGGATGTTTTTGTAAGTAATGTGTATGGAATATACAGAATTACCCAACAGACTCATTTTATTAACATTAACATAACATCACGCCTTTTATCCCCGAAGGGGTAGGCAGGGGTGCACATTACGGCACTCAATGCCACTGTACAATGTAACACCCACTTTTCACTATTTGCTATGAGTCCCATGTAATAGCTATTGCCATATACCGGGCACATTTCCAGACTCCGTGCTACTACTGAGGTTTTTACAAACCCAGTAATACTTTGCCCGACCCGGGAATCGAACCGAGACCCCTTGCCCGGCAGTTGCACTTAAAACCACTCGGCCAATGAGGCAGACTTATTTTATGTTATGATATTTTTAAAGTTATTTATTTCCCCTGAATAGTTATTTTTATTATCCCAAAACGTGACAGCCGATAAAGCAGTCTTCTACACTCAAAGACTGCACGGTTGGACAGTTTGTACTGCACGGTTGGTGCGGTGGCTGGACAACTGGCTGCCGTGCAGCGTGTCGCGGGTTCGATTTCCGCACAGAACAATACATTATGTGATCCAAAAATTGTTGTTTCGGGTCTGGGTGTCACGTGTATATGAACTTGTATATTTGTGAACGCACAACGAGACAAGAGAAAATCCTAGTGTGGGGGTAACGTTTTTTTATTTATTAAAAGAAGACAGTCTTCGACAAATGTGCAGAACAACCTATACGGTCCATAGTAACATACTTCGGGTATAACCTATTTTTTTAAGGCAATCTGATACCAAAAGTTGATAATTTTATGTTGGTAACGCAATATAATTAACAATTGCCTTAAGATTTAACCGGATCATAACATTTAAGTGAATGCAAGGCCTTTCATTTCTTACTTGTATATAAGCGATGTAAAGATCCTCCCAGCGTGTGCCCGCGTCCGATCAATCTTCTCCACAGCTTGCTGGGCCACTCCACACATGACGGCCGACACTACCGCCGGACTGTTCAGTTCCGGGGCTTCTATTGCGCACTGGCGGCTGATAGATAGCAAACCTAAAGGGACATAATAGATTTTACATAACCATAACATCACGCCTTTTTATCCCTGAAGGGGAAGGCAGAGGTGCACATTACGGCACTTAATGCCACTGTACAATGTAACACCCACTTTTCACTATTTATGTTATGAGTCCCATGTAATATCATGTTTTTATAATGAGCATTATAAGACGTTAATTTTTATACGGAATTTGTGATTATGGACCCCAGTTGTGCTCGAAACTAGTCAAGTAACCTTGTAACATCTTTGCAATATATATTTCTTATGTACTTTTAGATGAAGTGTATGTATAGTCATAGAGTTTACTCCATAACGGTAGAGTTGAAAATCAGATTTGATATTTAACATACCAAATTCCTACATTTTCCTTCAATACAAACCAAACCAACATAGATGTCGTAAAACCACTCACCAGTCATACTAGCCTCTCGCACCCAAGCGCCGATATCCCCCCTCATGTCGATAGTATACTCAGCCAAACAGTCAAGTAACGCGTGTATAATCCCCTCCACATAGTCCCGCACGCCCCCCAGTATGCCCTGTGTCTGACATACTTCAGTGAGTCCCACTACTGCGTCACGTCTGGCCTCGGCCCACTTCTGTGTCCCTTCTGTTACTTTAGTGCAGTTAATCAGGGCCTGGATCACCATTGATAGATGTTCCGTTAGCACAAATTTTGGCAGGGAACCTAAAAGAAAGAAATAAAATCAGCTTAAGAAAATTTATACTTTTTCGAAAGCAGTCTCTTGCAATCTGCTTACAGTATGTATACGTACAGAGGCCCAATTACCCTCCCCCCTCCCCAATCAATTCTCAAATTACTAACCCCCAAAAGGCCGGTAACGCACTTGTACCTAACACCTATGGTTACCGGGTGTCCATGGGCAGCTCCGATTGCTTTCCATCAGATGATCCGTCTGCTCGTTTACCGGCTTATTCCATAACAAAAAGTATCAACGCATCTGTGTGCTATGAAAAATATGTCAAAATGCCCCATTTAGCAGCCCAATCTACCGAGAGTTACCAGTGGCCTTAGGTTGCTACAAAAATTAATTCATATATAAAACAATTCCGCGAAGTATCAAGAAAACTTCAGGATAATAATGTAAAATATGCAATTTTGATAAATAAATACTGAAAACAACCGTTCCGACAGTCGGGTAACAAACTACATTTAACTCTAGTTGTGAACTATAGTCATCCAATACTCACCAACAGCCCTGGCATAACCCATCCTCAGCACCAATCCATTGACACCGGTATTGCTGAGCTGTTCACAATACTTCTCCATTAATTGCTTGCGTTTCTCCTTAGCAGTGAGCTCACCGTACTTCAAGTTATCATCACGCAGGTAATGGTCGAAAACTAGAGGTAACGCGTAGATAGCCTTCTCTCTGATGGCTTGTACTTCGTGGGATAGACATTCTTCGATAAGATTCAGCCATTCATCTGTAAAAATAATATAGACATTTCATCATTCATCGTTTATTTTAGTTGAAGCTGTAAACAATTTATTTTCGCACTGAAATTCGTCGAAATTTTATTGACCAAAAGTGACTTATTATCGCCTTTACAGTTCATTGGTTAACAATGAATACTGTAAGCATACATTTCAAAAGATAGGTAGTGTTAAATGTGGAAATATTCTTTATAAAATAAATCCATTAGGCCAACGCCATACTACTATTAAAATTAATTATTTTTGTCCCATAACTGAATAGACGGCATTGGCCGATTTAAATTTAATCTATGGTTTCGTTACCGGCAAAATATTAGGGTGTCATATGACAGAAATAAAATTGTTTCGTTTTGAACTCTGAAAACTGCGTTTCATTCGAGTATCCCTGGTCCGAACGACATTGTGCTCATAATGTACACAGAGGTACCTACTATCACATATTACACTCCTTTTACGTCAGTTATTTTGTAATTTCCATGTTTTTGGCAGTCATATTTAATTATACATAAGGAAGAAATCATTGTCTTTAGTAGGTACTAGCTTTTACCCGCGGCTTCGCTCGCATCACAAAAGTATAAAAAGTAGCCTATGTGACATATACCAATACACTCAGCGCCATCTATACCAATACTTTTGTTTTTCCTCGGGAATATCAATTTTTCTAGGTTAAAAAGTACCCTATTATTTAATCCAGACTTCTAACTTTACGTCTGCAAAAATTCAAAGCAATCGGTTGAGTAGTTACGGCGTGAAGGTGGAACAAACAAACAAACAAACAAACTCACTTTCAGATTTATAATATTAGTAAGGATAAACAAACAGTACGTTACCAATAATATCATGTCCATGGTACGGTTGGTCCGCGAGCGACAGCGCGGCGATGCAGTGGCAGCAGGCCTGCCGCATGAGTTCCCCGCCCAGCCCGCGGTACTGCTGCCGCGCCCGGAGCGCGCCCACCAGCCCGCGGACCGACACACACACGTCTTCTGACAGAAGGGAGTCTGCCTTTTTACCTGGACATGGAAAATGATAGAATAAACTTATAACTCGCTCTTGATTTATTCCAAAAATGAAAAGGATAGATGCTGTTAGATTGCTTTGTTACTGAAAATATAAAAAAAAATATAAGACAAAAACTATATTTTATATTTACCGCTGGGCGGTCGCGGCGATGTCGCGCAGCTCAGTGAGCTCAGTGAGCTGCGCGACGTCGCCGCGACCGAGCACGCTGCTCATGAGGAAGAACCTCTCTGTGGATCGAAACTAGTAGAGCTTTTCTCAGTATTTTCACGTGAGTAACCCGCGATTTTTAGTTAATATAGTATGTCTCACTATAGTTATTATAAGAATGAAGGTAGTTCGAAAAATTAAAATATTTTGTGATATGATTCAAATTCAGAGTAAACTTACCATTGGGTAGTTCAGCTTGAGAGAGAGCATAAATAGCTTCCCCGATAGCTAAGATGGCTCCATGCCTAACATTCAGGTCAATGGACTCAGTCTTTTTCACCAATTTCGGTAGTACAACCGTTGCTACGTAATCCGGTATCTGAAATTTAATAAGAGCATAAGCCATCTTCTCCCCAAATCAACGCGACGGTCTCAAAAGGAAGGTCATAGACAATCTTACAAGGTCTCGCATCTTGTATTTTCCAAACGTTCAAAAAACGGTGAATGGTTTGTCAAAAATGATTGAATAATACACACTCAACATCAAAATAAAATATACAAAAAATAAAATAAAATAACTAAACCTACTTAACCTAAGTAGCACAAAATATTAATAAAATTATGACATGACAATTGTCAAATTGCAATTTTCAAAAGTTCTGTTATTTTTTTTCTAGCCGAATCGGAATATTGTAGATAGCCAGTCTCTCCCTAATTACAAAACTTTTTGCAAACACTTTTTACTACAACTTGAATATTTCCGAATCAATAATAGCACCAATCATTTTTTATTCTTGTTGAAGATGTAGAAAGCCTGTACTTTGCCCTTATGATTGACAAATACATTTGAAAAGATTTAACTGCAACTTTTATTTAATTTTTTTATGGGATAGGAGGCAAACGAGCCATCGGATCACCTGATGGTAAGCGATCAGCGTCGCCCGTGGACACCCGCAACACCAGAAGAGTCACAGGTCCGTTGTCGGCCTTTTAAAAAAGAATACGCTCTTTTCTTGAATTTTAAACAATATACTAACCTTATCCGTCAACTTATTAAGTGCTTTTGCGGCAATTTCTCTTATAGCACAGTCCCAATGTTCAACCTTCAGTTCAACGAGATGGTCTATGAGTGGCTGAGTGTACTCGGGGTATGAGGCCACTTGTGGGGCAATGACGAGGTAGGCGTTGTTCCGTGGACCCACAGATTGGAAGTCTGCCGTAGTGAGGACGTTGATGCCGTGAGGGAACATGCCGTGACGACCTACGTTCTCTTGGTAAGCGGCTGAGGCGGCGCGACGACAGTTGATCTGTGAATAATGAGTGTTTATGTAAAGAAAGTGTTTTTTTGGATATTGATTATTGCCTAAAATTCATAGGATCAGCCACAAGACGCATACTGCCAAACATAATGAGTTCCAGATAAGCCAGTCGGAAGCGACCTGCATCCAGAAGCTCCCAGCGACCATAATCCTTTTTTTTATAGAAAACATTACCCCACACTACGATTTTCTCTTGTGTCGTGGTTACAATTATAAACATACAAGTTCACATACACGTCACACCCAGACCCGGAACAAACAATCTGTGGATCACATAAAGAGTTGTGCCGTGCGGGAATCGAATCCGCGACACGTTGCGCGGCAGCCACCGCGCCAACCGTGCAGTGAAATAGTTGGTCTGTTTACCTTATGATTGCTTTAATTGTGTGTAATTTTTTAAAACATTTAAAAAAAAATTATAAAAAAACTATCATTGCTTGTATATTATTTAACACTATAACATTATTAAACATAGTGTAGATCGGACTTCAGTTAAGTTAACTGTCGGTGTTTACAAAGTAATGGCAAAGGTTAATTTATAAAAAGCTGAATAGCTTTTTGGCACACCCATACGAGGCCCATATCCATAATGAATGAAAATGCACTGATAACGCATAATCGCAAGGTCAGAAAAATATTATTCTTTTTTGAAGATTTGACATTCTAATGTAATTCAATTTAACCTTTAGAGCACCACTGCCACCCAGCCAGTCACCGGTGCCAGACTTTCACCATTAACTCGTCGAGTACCGGTTTTATAGACACAATTAAAGAACAATAGGTCGCGGTCACCGGTGACCGCTTGGTGTTTGACAGTTTAAAAAGTTAAAGAAACTAAAACTTACCTCTCTATCAAAACAAGCAGTGCTAATGAGCGCGAAGGCGAGAGGTTTTGCGTATGGCGCGAGTGCGGCGGCGTCGTATGCCCGCGCGAAGGCCCAGGCGGCGTGGCAGGCGGAGTCCCTTGCCGCGCGGCCGCCGCCGCCGCCGCCCGCCGCCGCGCGCGCCTCGTCGCGCCGCAGCGCGCTCACCACGCTGCCCACGCCCTGCCCCACCTGCGCAGGGGACAGGAGACCGCGACGAGCTGGAAAGTTACATAACACATTTTTATCCCTGAAGGGGTAGGCAGAGGTGCACATTACGGCACTTAATGCCACTGTACAATGTAACACCCATTTTTCACTATTTATGTTATGAGTCCCATGTAATAGGGGGTTAGCCTATTGCCATATACCGGGCACATTTACAGACTCCGTGCTGAGAATGACGACTGAGAATTTTTTAAAAACCCAGTAATACTTTGCCTGACCCGGGAATCGAACCCGAGACCCCTTGCCCGGCAGTCACACTTGCGACCACTCGGCCAACGAGGCAGACAAAAGAAAGGTCTAACATAATCTCCGCTAACCACTCTCTATAATAGCATACAAATTAATGCTTGGTAAACTGTAATATAAAAACCCTTTTCGATAAAATGTGTCTGTAGATAAAGAAATATACGCCATACAGGGTCTCCCAAAAATCGACGCCCAAAGAACACCGAAGATTGGCAAAGTAGTAGTAAAAGTTTTCAGGAAAGATGAAAAATAAACTAAGTATCTAATTTAAAAAGTACCAACTTGGCATTACAAATTGTTACACCACATTTTTTATTACTACATTACCTAGTTCAGCCAACGCCATACATCCTCCATGCCAGGCAGTCTCTCGTTCATTTTCGGCGAACAACGAGAGTACACTGTCACATACGTCGGCGGCCGCGAGAGCGGGCAGACGGGCGCCGATACGACCGACGCCTTTAGCTGCCGACCATCGCACCACGGTGTCATCGTCGCGCAGGGAACATAGTAGTAGTTCTACTACGTCTTCCACCTGTATCAAACGAAAGATACCAAAATGGGTAATTTAAGATGAAGAATAAGGGTCCCGGGATGGCTCGAAACTTGTCGAACATCTACGAATTAATACGTTGTATGTAAGTGCATTTCGATATGTGAATGTGTGTCATTGAAATCTTATATCTAAATGTGTCCAGCTAGATGAATAGTGTTTGGTGATATTTCGCACTGTGGGTATGTAAACATGTGTTTAATGAAATGATATAACATAACATAATCATACACTATTATATGAAGGGTTTGTTTGTTTGAATGCGCTAATCTCTGGAACTACTGGTTCTATTTGACAAAATATGTTTGTGTTGGATAGTCCATTTATGGAAGTAGAGGATTAAAACATGACATCAACAATAAAAAAATTGTAAAAAATAATGATTACTGAATATAAGTCATATCATACCTCCTGAGGAATATCCTGATCATCGTCATCAGGTGGAGAAGTGATAGGTTCAGTATCGCCAGCGGCCGCAACTCCACCGCCGAGCGTTACAGCCAATGAGCGGGAACCACGCGTGTAACGCCACGATACTACGCGCGGACGGAGGAATGTCAGACCTAGGAACAATAATATAAGATTCAATTTAGCGTGCAACATGTGAGTGAATCAATTTTTAAAATGATTTGCTAGAAAAATAATATTGCTATTTGCCTTAATAGAAATAGATTCATGATCATAACTCATTGTTTGACAAATAGCCAGCATGATTGTGAGCAACGAGGTTACAGTGTGACTCCTGGATCAGACAAAGTTATGTTCTCTATTTAAAAATTTTCAGTATAACATGAACTTTGAAGTAACCCCCGTCACGTACCAACACACAATTTTCGCCCTAAAAATTACAATGCCCTTAAATGTTAAAACATTACGCATGGCCTATGATAACAATATGCAAACTACTGTATTTTTTTTTATGGGATAAGCCGGTAAACGAGCAGACGGATCGCCTGATGGTAAGCAATCGGCGTCGCCCATGGACACATGGAACACCAGAGGCGTTACAAGTGCGTTACCAGCCTTCTGGATTCGGAATTTGAGGATTAGGGGGTAATTGGGCCTCCGGTAACCTCACTCAAACGACGAAACACAACACAACGTTGTTTCACGTCGGTCTTCTGTGAAGCCGTGGTATACTCCGGTCGAGTCGGCCCATTCATGTCGAAGCATGGCTCTCCCACACTTAAACTTGTATGGACAATACATTTTCCCATCGATACCTACAAGAAATTGCTACTTTGACAACTGCTAACTTCAGTTCTGTTAGAAACTCACCTATTCTCTGCACAATCTTCACACCATACTTCCTAACCAGCATAGCTTTATGTTGCTGATAGTTCTGGTTCGTCACCCAAGTCAGGAGCTTCGGAGCCAATGGTAGCAGATCATCTCTCTTGCCATGTTTCAGTACAGCTGCAACAGCGGCTAACACACCATAGTGAATGGTTTCCTCTTCTTGTAAATTGGAATGTAGATCGCAAGCCCAATCGAAGAATGCACCCATGTATAGCTCTTTTACATCAGATCTGTTAGAGGTGGAAAAAATTATATATAACCATATAAACATACATATACATGCATACATTTTTTATTCCACATGAAAGTAGAAGAAAACAAGAACAAAATATAACTAATTTTGTTCATAATGATAAACATTGATTTTTTAGGTTCAAATATTTGTGCAAGTATCAGAAAAAATCCATTTCAATTATTAAATAAAGTATAATAAATTGTTTACCTTATAAGAAACTTGGAAGCTAAGTAAGCACTAGCTTCAGCACAGGAGTCCTTACTCATAGCGTAAGTCTTACAAATATTGAAAATTCTCTCCATGACAGTCAGTTTCTTTGATCCTTCGGCAACATCTGTGAAATTAGATAGAACATTCAAAACTTACGGAAAAGCAGTTGTTCCCAAAGTTGTTTGGACTACAACTTATTTTAGTCAAGGTCCCAAACGTAGGACCCATTTTAAAAATTACATCATTATCATCACAAAAAAAACAACAGTTGGTTAGTATGTTATTCTACTGACAAGGTCCACTAAAAATATGTTTGCACCCAAGCCATAATTGTAACATGTATATTATAACAACATATTTTGGAAAAACCTGTATTAATGGCTCCAAAAATTAAAGTTAAATACTTTGACAGAGTCAGTAGAGAGAGTGAGTAGAGTCAGAGATTCAGGCTATAAATAAAAAGTGATGTAGTGATAAAAACACAATATTAAATTGTGACACAAAAATATACTGTTATTTGATTAACAAAATGAAGATTAAAAACACTGGAAATTACCTGGCTGTCCAGGAGCAAACCCATCAAGCCGACTCATGTGGAAAGGAATGATCACAACAATAGAGAGCCACAACAACAACACAAATCTACTCCTCCATGTCTCCTTGTCTTTAGGATCTTGAGCCTCCAGGAATGTTAATACTGTTAGGAGATCCGACACCTGAAATTAAATTTTTTATTAAATTTTTTATTAGAGGAAATTATACTAAAAGATAATTCTAAAAAGGCAATACTTGTATGTATTATTTTATTACATTATATTAGCAACTAATAACCATACCAGGCTATCTTATACATGTTTGGATAAATGGTTGGGGGTTGGGATACATGAACTATGTACCCTGATAATTTTTCTATGTTGCCATGATGTTGTAGCCACTTATTGGAGAAAACATGGCATGTTTATGGTCCTTTATAGTTTTTCAGCAAGAATAATCAAGTTTCAATAGTTACCACAGTTATATTTCGTAATTACTTTAGACTTTGGTATATTTTCATAATCTGATTTATAGAATAACAACTTACCTCATGTGGAAGATGTCTTATAACAATCTTGTATCCTCTTACTCTGATGATTTGATACATATAATTAAATGTAGCGTGCTTCAACTCAAACGGAGAGTCTTTATCCTTAATTAGACTCAGGAACTTCGATAACATCTTGTCTAAATGGGGATCAAGTAGATGTGGTTGTTCATAGTATTGCTTCAAGATTGCATACAGTCTATCATATTCTACCTCCAAAGCTGGTGTATTATATATATTTTTAACATTATCAATCATGTTCAATACATCTTCTATCTCTGAAAAGTGCTCTAAAGCACATCCTAAGCCAATGTTGTCGCATTCATCGTCCCGGTTGAGGTCTGTGTCTAGCCCTACCATTTTGAACTATATGCTTACGCTGAAATCAAATACATTCAATAAGTTTTTAAAATGAAACTCTAATCTTATTAGAAAATATGAACTTCAAGATTACTCACCAATTTCACACACAGTAAAACTAAAAAAACAATATTTTGTTGCGGTACGAATGCTTTTGTTTGAAATGACAATTGACATTTGACAATTTTACATTTTGACTTGATTCGATTCACAGAGTTTTTGACATTGACGTGTGAACTTCAAATAAGTTTGACTCCCTGGTAGTGAGCAGTGACTGTAGCAGGATTTCTCTTGACTTACATCACGATTGTAAAGTAAAAGTGACTGTCTCGTTGGTCGAGTAGTCGAATTGCGACTGCTGAGCAAGGGGTCTCGGGTTCGATTCCCCGAATAGGCAAAGTATTACGGGGTTTTTTCAAAAATATCAGTTTCAGCTCGCATCTCGGTTTATTGCAATAGGCTCATTGCCATATAGCGGGATACATATTACATAATATTACATGGGACTCATAACATAGATAGTGAAAAGTGGGTGTTTCATTGCATTTCACATTAGCATTACGTGCCGTTATGTGCACAGTCTATCCCTTTGGGGATAAAGGGCGTGATTTCATACATTATATATGTAAAAATAGTAAAAATTATACGTGTAATTATTCTATTACTTATACTTAACATAAATTGTAATTGTAAACTGTTTCTGAGTTTGATATTTACAAGTACTTCTTACTTTTCTTGTTGTACTTAAATTACATCTAAATTTTTTTATTAATTTTAATATACAATATAGCTACTGTTGCCATATATTAGTATCATACGGCACTTTATTTAGAATTGATAACAGTTGGTAAAAAGATCTTATTAAATTATACAAATAAACCCTCCTCACTTCCGCAGTGTTTACTATTTCACTAATAGATAGATATCTATTAGTGAAAACTCGAAGCTGTACAAAAATACATCCAGTAGTTTTATAGTTTATCACGTTTACACAAATAGATATAAGAGCAAAGGAAATTATTTACTAGATAATTATAATTTAAGAATAAAAGGATAATAAAATTGTTTAAGTCGTTTCAAGATTTTAAATGTTTTTATTTTTTTGTTTTACGTACGTTTTCATATTTTAGACTATTGCAACCCTGGTCTTTAATTTTTTCTATCCTTACAAAAATCATTTAATCAAAAAATAACCTTCATGTTTCAATCAAAAATTCTTTTCAGATTTCAGACTACTCGTAAGCTTGCGTGTAAGGTTTTATTTGATATTTAAAATAATTAATAGTGGCAAATCATGAGTAAGTACAACATGAGTCGATAAATTGTTAATATTTTTTTCTATTATTCGTATAAAAAGTTTAAACATATTTCGCATAATTTTTTAATTATAGCAACATTGATTTTTAATTTCATGGAGTTGAGAATCTGTATGTTTTGTGTTTCTAAATTCGAGAAAAAAATGGTTTTATTGAACTAAATGTGTGTCAATCTTTATAGTTTTAATAAAAAATGAATAATCGTAAGTATTTGGAGTTGATAAATCCTATCGTGGTTCACATTAATACAACACATTAATGACAAAGCTTTTCCACTTGTTGTAATGATGAATTGATTCTTTTTCAGAAAGCCGAGGCCCGGCTAAGCGCAAAGTGAAGCCGGTTGAGCCACAATCTCTGTTAGATTTTGATTTGGGTGAAGGTGAAAGCTCCGATGACTCAGACTTTCGGATAGAGGATCATCCAGAAGAAAGTGACGATTACTCGATAAACACTGATGATGAAGAGAAAAGTATGTATTTCTGACTCTGTATGTGACTACTAAATATAAATTCCACCATTCCATTAGTATATAGTAGGTATTTAATCATATAGTATTAAAGTATATATACTGCAACTTCCCTATCTTTGTCCCTATGTCTGTGCTATAGTGTTCCATATTATCATGGTATTTATTCTTAATCTATTTCTATTAGTCCTTAGTCCACACTCCAAACAATAGCTTTTCATATCCTTTGGGAACTTAGAAAAGGGTTCTTACAGCTTTCATGTGATTATATGCACTTGCTTGCTGCCTTTTTGATAAATAAATGACAGTATTAAATTTGTGAAAAATGTACTGCATTTTTGGGTTATTATTGATATTTGTTATGAATTATTTCAGAGGCAGCTGCACAAAGTGAATCCTCAGAGGAATCAGGATCTGATGATGATGAATTTAAAGGTTCTAACAAAATAGGAGAAGACAAACCTGTGAACGATGTTCTGGAAAAAGCAAAAAAGGAATTTAAGGTAACTGTCCTACTAACACAATAACAATAAAAATATGAAAGTAGATAACATAATTGTATGGCTTTGAAAGTGCAACAAAAAATTCTGATAAATAAATTAAAAATTTTGATAACATAAACTGGTTTTTGTATTCAGTTTTCAGTTGTATATCTGTTGTATATAAATAACTTTTAGCCTTTTTATTTCGCGAATAGAAGTAGAGTCTATTGTCATCCATTAATTTAATTTTCAAAATTTATATATTATATATTTTTGTTTTTCAGTTTCCAGTTGAATTGGCAAACCTGTTAATATGTGCGGGATGCCTTGGATCCAGAAGTGATGATTTCAACGAAATAGTTGAATGTGATGGATGTGGCGTAACTGTACATGAAGGTATTCACTATTTATGTATTCATGATTGTTAATTATAATGCATGAATGGTCATGCTTATAATTTGTACTACTTGGATATAAATAGGTAATGTTTATCTAGGTAGTTACATCATTTATTATGGAACTGAAAGGAACCTTTCTTCAGTAGCTATGACTTTTAAAGAAAAATAAAATGTATATGATGTTAATAATCCTGTTACTGATTAATCAAACAATGAAATTTGTTTAGTGCCAGTATTTTTTCTTTTTAGTTAAACAGCTAATTATGTGCTACTTCCATCAAAATCAAAATAATTCAGAACATATCTCTATTTTTATACGACTTCTATAATGCCCGAGTGAATAATTATGTTGCTTATGAGTAGACATGCTCCACCATAGGTTGCACCATCGCTTACTACCAGGCAAGATAGGGACAAATTGTCAGCCCATGAAATTTCAAAAAGAATCTAATTATTACTGTAATGTTACTTTACCAAACTAATTAAATCAAATAGCTGGCGTTAATACTTTTAACATGTTAAAGACTTTTTAGCAGTTGTTGGAATATAATCTTTATTTCCAGGTTGTTATGGAGTCTCAGACACAACCAGCGAGTCCAGTACAGTCAGTTCAGCCTCTACAGAACCATGGTTCTGTGAGGCATGCAAAGCAGGAGTAACTGACCCTAACTGCGAGCTCTGTCCAAACAAGGGTAAGATTTTTTAAGTTAACTCTTTGAGTACTGTCATTATAAACACAATTAAAGAATAATAGGTTGCGGTCACCGGTGTCCTCGCGGTGTTTGACAGTTTAATGTAATTTCCAAAACTGTTTGTTTTGTTACTAAGCGATTGATTTGACTGTGTAAGATGCTGTAATATAATGTAATGCAATTTAGGGTATGTAGTTTTTGTTAGTTGCCTATGCAAACGTGTCAACCAAAGTTTTCTTTTGTTTTCAGGTGGTATTTTTAAAGAGACAGAAGTTGGAGCTTGGGTACATTTAGTATGTGCACTTTACGTACCTGGGGTGGCCTTTTCGGAGGTAAATATTTGAAAAATTTCTAAGTTTATATATCACACTATTTCTAGTTCAGTCAAATAAGATTGAAGCATTTTCGATATGGTTTCATCATCGCAGCAACAAGATATATCTACTGCAAAATATATGATAGGCCCACCCCATGATTTTCAGATAGTTTAATTTATTTCATTCTCATAATTGACAGGCTGCCGTGCAGCGTGTCGCGGGTTCGATTCCCGAACACCACATTATGTGATCCACAAATTGTTGTTTCGGGTCTAGACCCGAATTTATTTGTACAACAAACAGAATTTGTATGTTTGTAAACATACTCACGATAAAGGAGAAAATCCTAGAATGGGGCTAGGTTTTATTAAAAAAAAATAACATAAAAATTATGTCTCTCTAGGTGGAACGTCTATCCGGCGTGACGTTATTCGAGATGGCGTATTCCCGATGGGGGGCGCGTTCCTGCGCCCTGTGTGAGGATGCGACACTAGCCCGTACTGGAGTATGTGTCGGCTGCGACGCTGGACTCTGCAAGACTTTCTTCCATGTCACCTGGTAATTATATTGCTTTCTTTGTTAAAATATCTGGAAGTGGTGATATTAAAAGGTGGTTTTAAAGACAATCTGCAACAATATGTGATACTTAAAACTACATTTAGGAACAAGCACCCAACTTCATTAACAAACACACTGATGGACAATTTAAGCATTTAAAAAATGCCTGTATGTGGTTCTATGGAAATAAATGCTTAGACTTTGATATTAGAGAAAACTTATTAGTTACTATTTGAATAAATAAATGTAAATGGCGAATGTTTTGCGGTATTACAGTGGTCAACGTTCAGGCTTGTTGGCTGAAGCTCACTCGGAGGAGGCTGAACAAGCTGATCCATTCTACGCTCACTGCAAGCTACATTCTGATAAAGCTCTAGTCAAAAAACGCAAGCGGAACTGGCTTGCTTTGCAGTTGAGAACGGAGAAAAGGTAGGTGTAGTTTGTTAAAATATCATTAGGTTTTATATTTTCAAAATTTTTAACACTAAGTCTGCAGTGCAAATCTGAAAGAGGTATGTAGAAATCGTAGTAATTCGCGCATAGTGTCTGTCTACCCCCATGGGAGACAGGCGTGATGTCATCTATATGTATGTATGTAAGTCTGCAGTGGTGTTCGATGTATGGTAATAAGATCGCTTCCTGTTCATATTGAATTTTAATAAACTCAAGTTAACAAAACATTTGTTTTAGAAAACTGGAACTCCAAAATAACCTAAGTACAGACGAGAAACTAAGGATTCAACGTAAACTAGTGAAGTATCGGAAGAAGTATTTGATTCAGAAAGAGAATAGGAATCCTCCATGGGGTAAGTTTACGAACATTAATTATAATTACAAACTATGTACTCTTTGAAATTAAACAAAATTCGCTGCCGCATTTCTTTTTATCTATTCACGTAATACTCAAAAGTACTGAACATAGTTATTTACAATACGGTTTTTCGTAGTCGATATGGAGAAATTTGTCAGTTTTTATAGTCTGTCTATTGATAATTATACACACATTGATAATAGTACACCAAGAACAACCTCCACTTTCATCGAACAATGCTCCATTCACCCAAAGGTTGCCTGGTAGAGATCGCTATTAGTGATAAGGCCGCCTTTGTACCCTACTATTTTTTTTATTATGACGCTAATGTATATTCCATTTATTTAAGGTGTACAATAAAGGTTATTATTATTATTATTGTATGTCTTTACCATTCACGGGACCACAGGGTCCCGGTCATTTGGGAGGCGTACGAGGGGCCGAAGCCAACTGCGCAGAGGCCCTTTAGACAACTTTAATATAAATGTAATGGACACACAAACCGGCGACTATCCCTGTATGCACTATGGAAATGCACCCAAGGACAGTCCCCGGTTAGTGTAGGACTATTGTGAATAATGGAAAAAAAAGGTAGGGCTATGGATGGGTTGCTGTGGACTGGTAAATTAGGAACTATGGATGACTATGGCACCTGCCGAAACAATGTAATTACAACACGTAAAAATGGCAGGCGGAGACTCGCCAACTCACCGACCGGGCCCCAGGAATGGTTGCTAGATATAGCAACATAGGGGCACCGAGAATGTGAGTGGCTGAAGGGTTAAGAAACTACCACCGCTTTCTACTCAGATCATCTGCTCCAGCCGAAGCCTCCTGCATCCCTGGCCCACTCGCGACTTACGAATAGTTTCTTACCCTCCGAGCAGGATCACTGCTCTCGCGACTCCACTCTGGACGGCCAATGAAGGCAAGCCAGAGGTGGGAGACCTGTTCCTTGTCATCTTTCACTCCAGCCAGCCAATTAAGGCAAGCCGGAGAAGAAGGAACGGTGCCTTCTCCCTGGAGCACTCGGGATGATGGTAGCCCGCGGGATCGCTAATGCCCGTCACCTCGCCTCAAGGTGCCCTGCGGGCTTATTATTATTATTATTATTAATTATAACTATAATTCTTATAATTTCTAATTATAAGTTTGATATCAACCTGCATTAGTAAGCGTGGTGGTTAATGCACAAACCTTTTCCGTTTTAGAAGAGGCCTTTGGCCATCTGTGGCCACTTATAGGCTGTTGATGTGTGTGAAAGTTCTAAAACCGTGAGCGAAACTATAGGCGGAAAAGCTAGTTTATTATAACAATTGTTTAGTTGCAATATTAATATAATTATTTATTTCTGTTATTTCTTTATTAATTTTGATTTGGTGTTTGCAGTACCAACTCAAAAAATGGCGCGATTGTTATACAGTAGTGCGTCAGCTATGCGGAAATTTCAGAAAAAAGCCGAATGCATGGGCATTGATACACATGCGTTGGAATTTCAAGATGCACAGGTAATATTGTTATTACAATTAGTGTAAGAGCATGAAGTTGGTTCCTGCCCAGGTTTGGGCGTTCTCAATAAGTAGTACAGTTTAAAGATTAGGTCTCCATTTGAAAAAGGCAACATATTCTATATTGAAATAAAATAAAAAAAAGCCAGCAGAAATGAGTCTGCTAGATTATCTATCTTCTATCTATATATATAAAAGAAAGTCGTGTTAATTACACTATTTGTAACTCAAGAACGCCTCAATCGATTTAGATGAAAATTGGCAGGGAGGTAGCTTAGAACCAGGAGACGGACATAGGATACTTTTTCTACAATACTTTTTTTTTACTTTTTACCGAAAATCACGAATGGGAACGGGGGGAAAATGGGATTGCGCGTACGAAGTCGCGGGCAGAAGCTAGTTTTCAATAAGAATGTGTCAGTCAAAATATGCTTTAGTAAAGCTAACTCCAACTAAGGACTGATTATTCCAAAACCAGATAAATTTTAACTGAGGAATAACTTTAAACATTTGACTATTCTTCCACACTAAAAACTACCAAATGTCAATTTTATTCTACAGGTAAGGATTAACTCATAATTTTTTAATCATCAGTTAACCTTGTTAATGGTCGGCCCTAAATCAAAAATCGGCCTTCAGACATTTTGAAACACTTTAAAAGACAAAAGTGTTGTCCACTTCTAACAAACTGATGTATTCACAGATGTCAGCACTAAAGGATGTATCCCGTCGATGGCATGTACCGCCAGCATTCTCTGTCGAGTTTGTTGGCTACTACTTGGAAAGGAACACCAGAGTGTCATCCCTCAGGCAGTCGCTTGAACGACTTACGAAGGAAAATGAGAAGCTATTGGAAGATGATGATAAATTACGCTTAGATTATGATGAGGTAAGTTCTTAATACAGTTGTTTAGTTGAAGATTTGCGAAAGTATTTTTTTTTATACATGTCTGATAATTATACATTGAGCGAATTTCTTTAATTTGGATGATGGTTTATAAATAAATATCGTAGGTACATTTCTATTTGAATAAGCAAGTAGGTCATGCTAAAGCGCGGGCCTGCGGACGGCGAGCATGGGTGGCTCCCCGTCCGACCAGAAACAGACCCGAGCGTACGGCGCCGAGCGTTCCGCGCGCGCCTCAAAGAGCCATCAGACCACCAAAGATGGGGCCCAACAGGGCTGATGCCGATTCGGAGTCGCGGAGAACCTATCGGGTTACCGGGGCTCCGGCTCGACGTGCAAGAGTAGGAACGGGGTGGTTTTTAGTCAGTAAGAGTCTGACACTCCCTCCCGCCTCACCGTGCGGGAGTAGTCATTCGATGATTTTCCCCCCTAAAAAAAAGTTAATGATAATACACCATTTTGCGAAGTATTATTCTATGCCCTGCCATTGACTAATGGAGTTTCCTGAGAAAATAATTGCAAGAACAATTCTTATCTTTTAAAAGGTATAAGAATGTAAGTAAGGCAGCAGAATAGTATTCTTACATTTTATAACCATATCTGAAAAATATCTATTCCAGGCGTCAAAAGAGAACACAGAAGCATTAGCAACACTAACGTCGACGAGGCAGGCCCTACTGAAGTTGTATGAAGTCATAATAGCTCTGTGTCCTAAGATCACGTCACCTCCCATCTTGGAAGACAAGCCTCTCGTCCCGCCCGAGCTGCCTCGCTCTACACCTAAAGTAACGCCGCAACAATTACAGAAACGGTAAGTGAATCAATCCACTCTATATTACTTTGTTTGGTAATTAAAGTTATGGCAATAAAAAACAGATGGCAGCACCTGTATGAGGTTGTCTTTAGATGCAGATAGTTATTAATGAGATTTCGTTAATAACTTTCACATTTCATTGACTTTGTGATATCTATGTTAATAAACTAAAGACTAACATAAATAAATCTAACAACCACCAGTACTTTCTTAATAAAAATAATGAGGAGAAAAGTGTTAGAATTTTTGGGCTTCCAAGATTTAATATTGATTTTTATTATTTGAAATCGTAGATAATATCATAGATACGAGAAGATACAATCACGATAGCGTCGAACTGTCTTTACCTATTCATGTTATGTGTTTATCAGTTTCATCATAGATTTGAATAGTAATATTTAGCTATAATTTAACATATTGTCATGTTTGTGATCGTATTTCACCGTAATATACCGCTAGCATCATCAAGAACCCTTGATGTTGCTAGGGGTATGGCAACCATTCATCATTGGTCACATTTTTGCTATAAATAGCTTAATATTACAGAACATTTATTAGTGAATTATATTAAAATAAACAAAAAGTCACCTGTGAAAATGTTCTTCGTTCCCCCAAGTTATTTGAAATTGGCAATGTTCTTCAAGCTATCAAATCCTATTTAATTTTATGTCGTTACTCACACAATCTATACACTTTATTTTTGTTAAAGCATCCTCATTCCTTTGTCTCTCTGTCCTTTACGAAAGCAAACACCTTTTTGTCCATTCTAAACTGTATATTAATTTATAAATATTTTTCTTACCGTAATTTAATACTACTGTTATACAAAAAGGTTGTGCCCACTGATGTTTGGTTGTTAATATTATTATGTTATTATACTTGATGTACTGTAACGAGGGTCGGCCAGCAGGTCAATGTCTGTGCCAACTGCGGCTGCACTTAAGATGGGCGTTGGTTTTCCTCTTAGCGACAACCCGGACGCTCGCCAAGGAAAAGTTTTATCAACCTCTTTGGAAGGTGAGTGGTTCTACGTATCATTGGTAACGATCTAGTGCGAATTTTGCTCTATAAAAATGTATTAATATCATCAGTTCGTATTCGTCCACTGTTGCACATCTAATAGGCCGTTGAGCAAAATAGAAAAAAGAGAAAATAATATAGAACATAGTGTCAAAATTAGCACTAGATTATGGTTTCTTGTTTACTCTATTTGAATTTTGAATTCCAATATAAATGTGTTGATTGCATAATCCGATTTGGTTTGGGGAATAGGCAGTATATGTATGAAGTATGTAGGTAGGAATATGATATAAATGTCATCGCGTTAGACCACCAATATGGTCAAACCTACAAAATTAGATCTATGTATAACAAGAAAGGACTTCAGAAAGTACTAAATCATCGCCATATAATAATAATAATACCGCAGGCGCTTTAGCATAGGTACACTTATTATCCAGGGACAGATAGCTTACTTGCGTAAACGATTTATCGGAATGTCGCCAATTTTACAACGTCAATAACTAAATCGAAAATCATCGTGAGAGTATGTAAATTAAGACAAATATTTTTTATGTCGAGTCATTGCTATGCGGAATTGAAAGCGTTACAGTACATATTTTCAGAAGTCATAATGATTTGTTAAACATATTTATAGCACTGGGAAAGTTTTTCTTAGTAGTGAAGACCTTAAAAGCTAATCATAGGATATTTATGAACCCGAGCGTACGGCCCGTCGCGTTCCGCGCGCGTCTTTATGAGCCATCAGACCACCACGGATGGGGTTTGGGGCCTATACGGAGCCGCGGAGGACTTACCGGATTGCCGGGGCTGCGGCTCGAAGAGCAGAAGTAGAAACGGGGTGGTTTTTAGTCAGTAAGAGTGACACTCCCTCTCGCCTCACCCAAGGCGAAGTCATTAAGAATATTGATGAAGTAGGCAAACATTATGATCACAGTATTTACAGTAAACTAATATAAAGAAGATAATACATAGTTTGGAATAAGTATGCAAAATCTGTATATATTTTTGGAAATAAAATAATTACACTTTGATAACGTAAAGTAGGAAAATTGACTAATAACGGAATATACACTGTGAATATAGCGACTTCTTCTAAATCGACCGGTTTGAAGCGGTTCTTTAATGTACCTTGGTCAATTCTTATTCACGTTTAGTCCGTATCACTTTTCACTCGGTCTAGTTTTTTTTTCTTTTGTCAAGGAAACAATTTCAAAGTTGAGATACAACACCGTGCATTGTATTTAATTCTTACTCAATTACCATTCAAGGAAAAAAGCGGGACGTGTCTTATATAAGAGAAAGTCTAACCTAATGACAACTAAATAGCATACACGTGACTAATTCATTAAATCGTGAACTGGTCGTAGTGTAGAATTTGTTTCCACCGCTACTCTTTCCATGGATGTCATAGAAACCGAAGAAGGAACAGTCGGGAACCGGGTAGTAGGTAGACTCTTTGATAAATCTGGACTTTGTCTGCTATCTCCAATCTGCTTGCCAAGTGGGTAGATTATGTCCAACCTTCTTATGTAAGGTAGATGGTCCAGTTGAACAAAAGGACGTTGGAAAAACCACAGCCTCTTGAAACAACGACTGTGGCGCCTGTGCCTTTAGCCAAACGCCACTTTAGCGCTTGTCTACAGAGAGAGTAGAAATCAAAATTTATGGGGATGACACTGACAAGTCAAATATTAGGTTGAATCTATATAGAACTTGAGAACGGCTAGACTGATTTCGCTGATTTTTTTTTTGTTATCGTCAGGAGAAGGTTCTTATGACAGAAAAAAGTCCTGAAAATCCTAAGGGAATGTGAGAATCGGGATTGCGTGTTTTTTTTTTAAGGCGGGTTAATCATCGAATGACTGCTCCCTCCTGGGTGAGGCGGGAGGGAGTGTCTGATTAAAAACCACCCCGTTCCTTCTCCTGCACCTCGAGCCGGAGCCCCGGTTACTCGTTAGGTTCTCCGCGACTCCGAATCGGCATCGGCCCTATTGGGCCCCATCTGTGGCGGTCTGATGGCTCTTTGAGGCGCGCGCGGAACGCGACGCGCCGTACGCTCGGGTCTGTTTCTGGTCGGACGGAGAGCCACCCATGCTCGCCGTCCGCAGGCCCGCGCTTACGGTGGCCGGAGATCGTCTCGCGATCCCCGACGCCCGGTGTGTCCTTCGCGATGGCTGGGTTGCGAGGAGGCAGCGCTTCGCTGCCTCACGCGTCCCGCCTCCTCCTTAGCTAGCATGACTGCTTCGCAAAAGGAGGAGACGGCATCCCAGTCCCCCTCGCTCCGCATCATGGCCTGCACTAGGCCCGGACGCGAGAGGGGGATTGCGTGTACGAAGTTGCGTGTACGAAGTCGCGGGCAGAAGCTAGTTACATATAATTTGCTTTTTTATTCTACATGTAGACAAGCGCTAAATGGCATTTGGCTACAGCTGCTGGTTACTATAGAGTTACATGCAGAACATACACACATTGACACGAAGGACATCAGTCATTTTCTTAAGTCTGCTAACGTGGGCACACATAAAAAATCACTGACATTTTGGTGCTTCAATCGTTTTTAAGTGACTTTATGTTCACCTTTTTTTCAATGTCCTTGGTCGATTATTTGACTCTTCACTGCTGAGGATGACTGATTCATCTTCATAAGTCTTCATTCTCAAGGGTTGAGTTGTTTTTCAATTGTTAATTATGACATATTACCTGGAAAATTAAATGAAAACACAATTTTGAACTTAATTCCTGAATTAATAAGTTGTTCAGTTGACTTGAGATCGAGGCTTGACAATTTCAATAGCTGTCGTGACTCGCAAGTATCATGTCTGTATCTATTTAGTTGACATTGCCCGACTTTGTCCCGGTTGCCATACGCGACATGTTTCGCAACGTGTTATGACTTGCCATTTTAATATAATAACAATACAATTTAACAATTTAACTTTCCACGTGTCACAAAATTGCTACGTCATTGTTTACGCAAAATTAACCTATCTTACATCTAAAAAGGATTTAATGTATTATGTTATTATTTAGATTATATCTCAGTTACATAAGTTCTTAGGTTTATATTGAAATTTTCATCAGACATGATAATTTATTATTATTTTTTCGGCTTAGTCACGTAAATGTTTGTTGAGGAACTCGACTAGTTTCAAGCCATGCTAGAGGCTCATATTAATGAGCAGCATTCCGCGACCCGCGACGCGGCGACTGTCTCATTGCTACATAGCATAATTAATTAGATCTTAGGTTCACGATAGTAGGTGATGTATCAGAAAAGGAACAAATTAGAAATCAATATAAAGAATCAAGTTATTAGTGCCGTAAAATAAAAAGACGAATATAGTTTAGTTGTCATACAATTTATGTTCTGAGATTTTGGGTCAGAAGTTGTACTAACCACAGGGCAGGGGGTTTGTTATGTTTTTTTTATAGCATATACCTGTAAACGAGCAGACTGATCACCTGATGGTAAGCAATCGCCGCCACCCACGGACACCCGAAACACGAAGGCGTTACAAGTGCGTTACCGGTCTTTTGAGTATTGGGAATTTGAGGACTCGGGGGTTGGGGAGACTGGGGAGGGGGGTAATTGGGCCTCCGGTGTATGTGTTATAGGTATCACAAGACAGCCTTTTTTACCAAACTGATGATCGCGTTTGTAGGAGTTCCTTATTTTACGGAGGCTTATTCCACTTTTTCCACCTTCACGTAGGGCAATCAACGTAGTGGTAGGTTAAACATGTCGTATGTGAAGGCTCTAAGGTTGTTTTTCCGTCAGCTGCGTCGGGCTCGCTGGCGGGGCGCGAGTGCGCGGCGTGCGGCCGCAGCTCGGAGCAACATCTGATGGCGGCGTGCGACACCTGCCATCAACACTACCATCTACACTGCCTCAAGCCGCCATTGCAACGGCCGCCTAAGAAGAGCAAGCTTTACGGATGGTAAGAAGATTTATTGATCAATTGCGATACGCTACATTTCATCAATAGCCTATTAATGGCCACTGCTGATCAGGCCTCTTCCCGAACGGAGAAGGTTTTCCTTTCACAGTTTGTCAGTGGTGTCTAAATAATCTTTAGGAAGTACATATAAATTGAAAAAGTCACATTAGTATTGGCTGTTGGTAGGTTTCGACCCCACACTCATGCATGAGAAGCGGACGTCTTAAACCTCCGGGCCACCACTACACACTACGCGACGATACCTAAATATATTCATGTAAAATAGTTACAACAACTGCACATTTGTTTCACAGGCAATGCTCTGAATGTGACAAGACCTCCGATTCTGAACCTGAAGTGCTGGAAAAGAAAGTACCAAGGAGATCGAGAATTCGATACAGTAAAGACGGTGCTATCATCACTGAACCACACAGCCCAGGCTCTCCACCCAAACCAGGCTCAGAGAAATATCCTAAAGTTGAGAAAACCAAGTTGGAGACACCCGAAAGTATATCTCCTATTAAAGTAACCATCAAACCGTTTGAATTTAGCAGCGACGGTAATGAGAGCTCCGAAATTAAAGTGAAAAAAGAAAAGAAAATAAAGAAGTCAAAACAGAGAGAACATGCGTCAGCCTCCGCTGGAGAAGGGGAATCTCCGAGCAAGAAGATACACAAGCGAAGCTTTACTTCACCTACGTTGACAAATACCCCATTGATGTCCATCACTCCGATTGTCGCTGATAGTCCAAACGACTCGCATAATGAGAATTCAAACGCTTCTACAAATGTTGCAACTACCAAACGAGAGGATAGCTTTTTGCCTCAGAACTTGTCGTTCTCATCTCTTCTAGTGGAAGGCAAAGAAAGAGACAGCAAAGCCATAGAGAGCTCAATAGAAAGTACATTAGCGAATTTATCGTCAGATATAGCAACTTACAAAGCGAATAGGAAGCGGAGGAAAGAGAAGCATAGATCTAGATATTCCCCGGATCTGTTGCGGTCACCTTCGAAATCGCACAAACATAAAAGGAAGAAGAAGACGCAAGATTTGGAGAATCCTGATCCTCCGCATCCTAGGATCACTATCAAGGTAAAATACTCTTTCTTACGAGACCGAAAAGGGGCCGTTCAAGTATTACGTAAGCATCATGGGGGATGGGGGGGTCTAGATGATGATTACGTCATCGGTAGTTATATACTTTTTCACACGAATGGAAACCCTCATATTGAAATTATAAATTACAAGGAAAGACCGACAAAGAACTAGGCATTATGGTATCTAAGAGAATATTAAAATTACAATAAAAAATATATAATTTAAATTATTTACGTAAGCAAAGGGGGAGGGTGTAAGATCTTTGCTTACTTTTGCTGACAAGGGGGATGGGGGGGGGAGCATATAATTTAAAAAAAACCTGTTTTCGTAATATTTGAACGGCGGCCCCAAAGAATAAATGTATTATAAGACTTATTATTTTTTTCTTATTTTTAGATTAAGCCTATTCCAAAGCCAGATGGGTCTTTAGATACGCAAATGTTCTACGTTCCCACGGACAGCAACGATGGTCCGCCACCTGCAGTAATGAAGAAGTTATCTAAGGTAATTTTATCTGCTCATTTTTTGTTTAACATACCACTTACGTTTACCGATCTAACATGGATTAATGTTTTTTAAATTTGCAATAACGTGATGTTTATAATGTGACGACTTTGTGTGTTTAGCAAGCGGAACAAGAAGCGGCGAAGCCCCCGCCAGCCCCCGTGGTGGAAGCTGAAGTCGCACCAGCGCCAGAAACTCCCGACACAGCTGCGGTAAGTTACAGTCCTAAAACTAAATTAACGATAGGCACCGGTCACCCCCTTTGCACAGATTGACTATAGCAAAACAAGTGCGTAGCGTTTTGTATTTGATCGAATGTTTATTATGGTTTTTGTCGAACGGATGAACGTCAAAGTCCACGCTTCGTAACGAAGGGACTTTTGATATTATTTATCTGGTTGGCTGACGAAATTCTAAGACTATCTCCCTATAACTCTTAGTGAGGTGTCTCATACCAACAACAATAGTGTCACTGTTCTAAAGAAAATTCGTTTGACGTATTTAATGAAAAAAAAAACATATGCCGATTTCTATAAGACATGTTGATTATAGTCAACAAAACAGACATAAATGATTAATGAGGAATTCTGTTGTTAGATGATTTATAATTTTAATAAGCCTACGAATTAGTGTAAAAATTAGTATATTGTTACTATAAATCAATTTATGTGTATTCTGTATGTATTTTTTCACGCAAGCTTAAACCTGTGGAGAGTAAACCAGCCGAATTGATTGAACCTAAACCAAAGGTAAACTTGAGGAATTGTTTCTATAAGTTTTGTCATAAAATTAGATACAACTTGCGTTGTACATATTGTATGGGGTATGTTAATGGTCGGACAGTTTATAAAACATACGTTTTTTATCTAATGTTATTAGCAAATAGACATACATAACTTCACGCCTGTCGCCCATGGTGGCAGGCAGATACTATAGAACGCCAATTACTACGATTCTTACATACCTCTTTCGCTTCATCAACAGTCATCAGTCTTTATTACATTCATGCTCGTCGGTTAAGGGTACTTTTAATTTGGCCCTTCTTTAATATATCGCCAATTTGGTCCGTCTAGGGCGCCTTCTACCGACAGCCCCATTCATGTCCGCTCTGTATCTTCTTTCGTTACGCTACTTTCATCCATCCTTTCTACACGTCCTAACTATATTAAAATAATAAAAGCACCTCAAATGTTGGCGTTTGAACATAATGGTCTAAATTAAAAATCGAAAGTAATACAAAATGTTTTTGTCAATAACAAAGATATTGTTCAAAGATCTTAGATATAATTCGGTAATTAATTTCGATCATAAAAGTTTGATTGATTAAACTAATTTTCCAAACTTCCGTCGTGTGTCCCCCAAAATACCTATTTAGTATGGTATTAAGTCATTGTAATCAAAATTGTCTACGTGATTGAAAGTCACGTAGTCAACGAATTCTTCACACTATAATCACTAAATTGGAGCTTATTAAGATCTCTAAAATGATAAAATTTAATCTTATCAAAGGGGCGTTAACTACTCTGCTATTGGTTATACTTAGTTTGCTTAAGTTATGGGCGGGTCCTGATAAGAAAATCGACCATACTGATATGAGTTTCATTGTAGAATTGTTAATGCTCGAAGCATGTTGTCTACCTAGAGTAAGGTGTCTTGTGATCAAGCTGCAAGCCTTTGTTTTTTCGCATTTGTTTTTAATCAAAGAATGTTTACTATGATAATGAAGTTAATGTATTTCAATTTTTACACGGTTTAAAATAGGCATGTTCTAAATTAGCATTAAAAAGCCAAAAGATAATACAATTAATTTCTAAGTACCCGATCTATGTATGATAGATGTATTTACTTATTAACGGACATAAAAGGGTCAAATCTGCAATACAACGTACACTACCGCTCAAAAGTATTTGGCCACTTGCACTTTTGATATTACCACCAACTATATTTCATTAAAAACAATTCTATTATATTCTAATGTTTGTATTTCATCGTAAAATACTTATCTACATTCAAATAAGGTAAAAAGCTTATTGTTATTGGCGAATTCCTGGTCGTAATGTCAAGATAGTGTTATTGCTGGAATTTTTTTCAAAATTTATTTTAAGTGGCACTTTCTTTTTAATTACATTTTTAAGAAATAAATAAGTCGGTAACGTGGAATAATTACTAGAGATTGAATAACCTTAGTTATTTGATGTCATTGGACCAGAAATCAGGCTCTTCAACTCAAGAATTGAAGTCTAGTAACATTTTTTTGTCATTCGCGCGTTAAGTTTTGTTTTTTTGGTGAAAATGGGTAAAACGAAGAAACATTCTCAAGAGACCAGAGGCATTATAATCGGTCTTCATAAATCCGGTAAAAGTAATCGTGAGATATCAAGATTGCAGAAGATACCGAGGCAAACTGTGGACTACATTGTCAAAAAATTTGCGTCTGAAGGAACAATTTGCAACAGTCTTCGTCCAGGTAGACCAAGAGCCACCACTTCGAGTGAAGATTTGAATATTGTTGTCAAAAGCAAACGGAATAGACGATTAACCGCACCAGAAATAGCAGCACAATTCAACATAGGGCGTGATAAACCAGTGAGTGTGTCTACAATCAAAAGACGACTCCTTGACGCAGGACTTAAAGGATGCGTAGCGGTCTCAAAACCACTTCTTAAAGCTGTTAATAAAAAGAAGAGACTACATTGGGCTAAGGAACACAAGAATTGGACAACAGAAGATTGGGAAAAGGTTCTCTGGACGGATGAATCGAAATTTGAAATTTTTGGATCTAAGCGAAGAGTTTTCGTACGCCGGCAGTCTAATGAAAGGGTGATGGACGCTTGTACTGTGGCTTCTGTTAAACACGGCGGAGGGTCTGTGATGGTTTGGGGCTGTTTTGGTGGCTCCGCCGTTGGAGATCTTGTACGGATACAGGGAATCTTAAAAAAAGAAGGTTACAAAAGCATATTAGAGAATAGTGGAGTACCGTCAGGAACCCGTTTAATTGGTTCGGGATTTGTATTTCAGCAGGATAATGATCCTAAACACACGTCGAAACTCTGCAAGGACTTTTTAAAAGGAAAAGAACAACAAAATGTCTTGAAACTCATGACGTGGCCTCCGCAGTCCCCAGACCTCAACCCTATAGAATTATTGTGGGATCAGTTAGATAGACAAGTGCAAAAATGTTGTCCTACATCTCAGGAAGACTTATGGAGAAAGTTACAAGAAGAATGGCAGAAGATAACTAAGACGACACTGGAGAAATTAATTGCAAGGATGCCGAAGCTTTGTGAAGCCGTAATTAAAAACAAAGGTGGACATATAGATGAGTCTAAAATTTAGGAAACGTGTTATGTTTAATATTTAAAATAGTGTTAATAAATAGTTTAAAATATTATAAAGCAGTTTCATTCATTCAATCTTTCACAAAATGTATTTTACAGGGTGGCCAAATACTTTTGAGCGGTAGTGTATTAGTAAAAATACACCTATTTTCACATAATTTTATTCAATTATTTAGGCCTAGATTTATTGTACTATTTAGGCCTGTTGATATTACTAGAAAATGCCTATAGCATTAACTCGTCGAGTACCGGTTTTATAGACACAATTAAATAACAATAGGTTGCGGTCACCGGTGACCGCTTGATGTTTGACAGTTTAAGTCCACCAGTTCACATTTTATGTACAATTAAGTTTAAATAAATAAATGTCTATATTTATACAGAGAAGTCGTGCCGAGCGATCACGTCGAGGCGGGTCGGGTGTGAGCAACACTAGCGCGGCCGCGGCGGCGACACCGCTCACACATTGCGATGTCTGTATGGAAGCTGGGGACGGTACCAATCTCGTAAGGTAAGAACACGTAATTACCCAATAACACATGTACTAGTAACAGTTTGAATAAAAGTTGCATGTTAGGTTTAAATTAAAATTATCCTAGGCCCATATAAATAAAAAAAGCGTATACGAACGCTCGAATTGAGAACCTCCTCCTTTTTTGAAGTCGGTTAAACAATACGCCTAATACATAAATGAAAATCTAGTTTAATTTTCGTGTTGTCCAACAAAACGAACTAAATCCGAATTCTTCATGTATACATTTCTGTATTTGTTTGCCGGTTTATAGCTAATCGTAAGAAAAACTCAGTTTATATAGAAGTTTAGTGTTGGATGGAATCGGTTTGGTACTAACTATTAACATGGTAGCAACAAGTACAACATTTTTTTTGGATAAATAATAGAAACTTTATATGTCGTATTTCTGTGCAGATGTGACGAATGTGCCAAACGCTACCACTTCACGTGTTTGGAGCCGCCATTGAACAAGAATCCCAAGAAACGCGGCTACTCCTGGCATTGCGCGGACTGCGATCCGACGGTGAGTACACCTATATTTGTTTTTAGTACTATAGAAATTATAATACTAAAGGCATATTTGAATAAGTGTCTGTTAGTATAATAAACGGATAATGCGTCTAGGATTTTTCATATGAAATGTTGCAAAATCAATGTTAGTTAAGTATTTACTAAAACTAGTTTATACTTTTTATCGAAATATTTTTTTATAGTAGTACGGCACAAGTGAAAGTCGCGTATTGTGTAATTTATTTTTTTTCAAACAAAGATAATAATAATAAAAATGCAGTAATTCCTACAGCTCAAACAAATAAAGGTATTTGATTAGAATTGATAAATTATTTAATCGTATATTAATAATATTTTTTTTCTGTGATTTCACCTGACGTTTATTTTAGTACCGTTGTAATTTTTTCTGACTCCTGAGATCAATAAAAGAATCGAAGATAAGTTTGTTGTGTGAATGTTTCTACATCCACTGTAGAATATTCTAACTTCATCTTTTGACAGTAAGAAGTAGGCTATTGACTGCCTAGATGGCCGAGTGGTCGCAAGTGCGACTGTCGGGCAAGGGGTCTCGGGTTCGATTCCCGGGTCAGGCAATGTATAACTGGGTTTTTAAAAATCTCAGTAGTAGCACGAAGTTTGGGAATGTGCCCAGTATATGGCAATAGGCTCACCCCCTATTACATGGGACTCGTAACATAAATAGTGAAAAGTGGATGTTAAGTGGATGGTATTAAGTGCCGCAATGTGCACCTCTGCCTACCCCTTCGGGGACAAAAAGGCGTGGTGTAATGTTATGTTAAGTAGGCTATTATATAAAGTGCGCGTGTAATAATAAAGGTTCAGCATGACTGTTAATGTCGATAGATACTGCGACTTTAGTACAACTTTACTACATACAAATGACAAAGCAAAAATATTTGTCGTCAGTTCGTCGCCAGTTTTATTTTCTGATGCTAAGCGGTAAATTGTAATGTTATAATAATTAAATACTTAGGTCTTTTTTTAACGGGAGAAAATCATCAAATGGCTTCTCCCGCCTGGGTGAGGCGGGAGGGAGAGTCCGACTCATACTGACTAAAAACTACTCCGTTCCTACTCCTACACTTTGATTATGAATGATATACATTTGTTCACAAAGAACAACAACATAATATCACGCCTTTTATCATACGGTACTTAATACCACTGTACAATGTAACATCTACTTTTCACTATTTATGCTATGAGTCCCATGTGATAGGGGGTGAGCCTATTGTATTGTATTGTAATTGAACCCGAACCCCTTGCCGCAATTGCGACCACTTGGCCAACGAGGAAGGCAGTAAAGACTACTTTTTTATAAAGTAAAACATTGGAAATAAGGTTTATAATAGAGTTCCACTACTGAGCGGTGCCCGGTGACCGGTTGGGGACTGAGCAGGGTTGGCGTTATGTGTGTAATTTTTACTGTTCTTCGTTGTAAAACGTTGTGAGGTCAATAATAACGATGCGTAAATAAGAACTCACATGAAGTACTTGTTTGCGTTACCGCCAATACTAATAGTGCAGTGCGCAAAACTGCGCAAAATGCGTAAATGATGACTTGACGAAAATACAATAATAAAATTAATTTATTTTTGTTCACAGGATATCGAAGAAAACAACTGACATTGAAAAAGTATTGTCATCATGAAATAATCTCAAAATGGTATTATTATATTTCTGTCTACGTTACATGTGCATACTTTAGTTTATGTTGGATCTTAATTTTTATTTTTATATTTAGATATGAATTACTTTTAAAATGTGTGTTGTATTAGAAATACATGCTGAGAATAATGCTTTTACTGTGAACAATTAGGGACTATGAGAGTATAATAAGAATTAATTATATTTAAAAATAAATATACATAGATGACGACAACCAAATTGTGTTTTATTTATTCTGTACTAGCTTTTACCCTATTTATTCCTGTTTTATGCTATGGGAGAATTTTATCGAGATAAAAATATCGTATCACCTAAGTCAGCCCATACCCTGCCTGTATACCAAACATGAATATCCGTTCAGTAATTTCAGCGTGATTGACGGACAATCATCCAAACAAAGAAATGTTCACATTTATATTATTATATGGTGTGATGTCAATATAATCTCTAAAGCCGTAGGTAAATATTCTATATATCCAGTCGGCTGGCTGTCTTTATGAAGAAGAGTCCCGTTGTGACTTGAAATTAGCAGAGCTTTTCTCAGTTAGTTTACGTGAGTTACGGTGAAATACTCAAACGTTACTCAATTTTAAGTCGTGCTTAAATACAGTTCTGTCTACAAATTCTTTGTAAAATGACAGAGAGCACAATATTTAAGTACAATTTAAAATTGAATAACCTTTCAGTATTCGGCCGTTAGACTGCACGGTTGATGCGGTGACTAGGCAACTGGCTGCCGCGCAATGTGTCGCGGATTCGATACCCTCACGCTACAACTCTGTGTGATCCACAGATTGTTGTTCCGGGTCTGGGTGTCATGTATGTAAACTTGTATGTTTGTAAACGCACCCACGACACAGGAGAAAATCCTAGTGTGGGGCAACGTTTTTATTTAAGAAAAATGTTATTTTATTTTCCTATTATTTTTCATCAATCAAGTACACATTACACAAAAACGCAGGTAGGCATTTGTGATTACTGGAGTGGTGAACCAGTTAGCAGGTACAAAATTATATTTGCGTCAAGCCTCACGACGCTATAGATAACAAGGTTAAAGATTAAATTCAGGACTTAAATTATTTAGAATTCAATCATAATATAGTTTCCAGTTGGCAACAGAATGATAACGATGACTTGTAAAAAATAACAATGACTTTTCATAATATCTATTTACTAACAAGCAAACATGACATTGCAAAAGTATAGGAGATTGAACTGCATAATACTACTTATATCTATTATCTCTGATCGTAAGACATTGTTATTGAAAACAAATAATAAGAAAAAAAATGAATTGCAAATTTATAAGTAAAATTAATTACCTACTAATTAGTTAGATAAGTACCTAATAAAGTAAATTTGACTGCACGGTTGGTGCGGTGGCTGGGCAAACGACTGCCGTGCAACGTGTCGCAGGTTCGATTCCCGAACGGAACAACACTTTGTGTGATCCACAAATTGTTGTTTCGGGTCTGGGTGTCGTTGTGTATGTGAACTTGTATGTTTGTAAACACACCCACGACACAGGAGAAAAACATAATGTGGGGCAACGTTTTAAAAAAAGAAGAAAAAATAGAGATGGTCTTCGTACAGTAGTGGTTGCCATTACCAAGCACGAGGCTCTGAATTTTGTCTTGTGTCAGATTTTAATGCAGTCTTGATTTTTGCACCGTGGCACCGTGGCCATATAACCGACTGTTGCATAAGATGTCGCGTGTTCGATCCCCACACATATTTTTTTGTGTGATCCACAAATTGTTTTCCAGATGAATGTGAAATTGTATGTTTGTAAACACACTGGAGAAAATCCTTATATGGGAGTTTAAAGACGCTCGGGCGTACGGCGCGTCGCGTTTCGCGCGCGCTTCAAACAGCCATCAGACCACGGATGGGGCCCAATAGGGCTGATGCCGATACGGAGCCGCGGAGAACCTAACGGGTTACCGGGGCTCCGGCTCGAAGTACAGTAGTAGAACGGGGTGGTTTTTAGTCAGTAAGAGTCTGACACTCCCTCCCGCCTTACCCAGGCGGTAGAAGTCATTTGATGATTTCCCCTAAAAAAAGGGAGTTTAAAAAAACAACTTTTAGTGAATAGTTAGCAGAGTACCTGCTTAGTAGCTTAGCTTAGTATCTACCTATATAAATTCGGAACGCAGGTTTTAAATTAGTAGATAATTACCTATGTGCGTGAAACTGAAACTTCTTTAACCAAGTGGGCTTACATATCCGGGACGTACATATCCTGTTTAGAGTGATGGACTTTCTTGATGGCCTAGTCCATCACTTTATAGTAGGTATACATTACATACATTACTTTCATTACTTGCAGAAATTTTGTTTTCAATAATATTTTAAGATTAAATAATATAAATTGCATGTACTTAAGTATTATATAAGTAGTAAAATCGTTCACAGTTCTGCTGAGTCACATTTTCTTGTTAGTAAATAGACGTTTTTGAAAGTCATTATTATTCTTTCAATCACATTTTTTATTGAAGATCTGTTATCTACCATGTGTTGCTAATCGGAGGAGTTTCCACATCTCACTGTGACTATAAATTATCAACGTAGATAACGGTGGTTTGTTTATGTTCTTACATCTTTGTGAGTACACAGTTTTGATTGATAATGGTGATATGGGATTCTTTCAGTCTTAGTAACAATAATGTTGACAAATCCTTTCTTGGAAACAGTAATCTAAACTATGGTTATTCCCTAAGTACATCTAGGTTAATAAGTGACAGCCAGTGGTTTCTGACTACCCCCAATGGGACAAAGATGGAAGTTTAGTTTTAGTATTTATGTACCTACAAAGTCGTCTCGGACTTCGTTGGGGCCCTTAGGCACACAATAACTCGGGGTCCTTGTGGAATTATCTTTTTTTCAACATTACTGTATCTTTAATGAATTTACAAACATACAACTTCACATGCTCTTGATACCCATATCCTAAACAACAATTTGTGGATCACACAAAGACTTGTTTCGTGTGAGAATCATACCCGCTACACGTCGCGGGCAGCCAGTGCAGGGGCAGTGTAGCTGGTGTGTGTCAGTCGTAGAAATTGTCGGTCTTTCGGAGCTCCCTGAGGACGGGGGCCTTGGGCACAAGCTCCGAACGCCCTTATGGTAAAGACGGTACCTACTCGGTATGTATACATCGGCAGCATAGAAGTATTCCTTCTATGAAGCTTACCGGTCACCTGATCATAAACGGGTTACTGTAGCATAATAAAAAAGTACGCTGCAAGACTGCAACTGTAACGAAGTGGCAACAGTAGAAGCATCAAATTTAAAATTAGTTGCATTTTCGGGAAGCTCTTCTCCCTGAAAATGTTGGCACAACCAAAATTGACTGAAACGCAGAATTATTACCTGCTTATGTTATATTTTTACAATGGATTTTTGTGAGGGAATGGTACCTTCCTACTTCCTACTCAAGACGACCCATTTAAGTTGTATAGTTATTTTTTTTAAGGGGGGAAAATCGTCGAATGCCTTCTCCCGCCTGCCTGAGGCGGGAGGGAGTGTCAGACTCTTACTGACTAAAAACCACCTCGTTCCTAGCCGGAGCCCCGGCAACCCGTTAAATTCTCCGCGGCTCCGAATCGGCACCAGCCTATTGGGCCCCATCCGTGGTGGTCTGATCGCTCTTTGAGTACCCGTACGCTCGGGTCTGGTTCTGGTCGGGCGGTGACCGGAGATCGTACCGTGATCCCCGACGCCCGGAGTGTCCTTCGCGATGGCTGGGTTGAAAGGAGGCAGCGCTTCGCTGTCTCACGCACCCCGCCTCCTCCTTAGCTAGCATGACTGCTTCGCAAAAGGAGGAGACGGCATCCCAGTCCTTCTCGCTCCGCACTAGGGCCGGACGGGAGAGGTAAGTTGCATAGGTAGGTATAACAGTTAGGTTCTACGAGGATGGTACTTCTATTTCCCCCTTTCGAGGCGACCCATTCAGTACAATATACCAGCTAGGTTCTACCACCGCCAATAGGTAAATAGAATTAATTTGATTACATTGCCAAATCAGTTTCATCTATTACTTAATTGTAACCCTTATGACGTTTACATAACATTCATTTCACTATGAAACTGCAAATTATCTATTGTTTTGAGTGAGTGAGGGTACTCGCACCGTACTATCAACATTAAGCTCCGTATATTATTATTAAATTAAATTTAAATACTTCAGTTTAAGTGCTTAACTCGATAATATAAGAACTATTAGTGATGATAAACAAGTGACATTATTGACAAGTGAATATCTATAAGCGTCTTAGAGATATGTACTGTTGTCGCGAAACGTAAATATCTGTTCTCCACTTTAAAAGCTAAACCAATCACGCAGTGTTCAAGAACCAAAAGAAAGTAACTGTGGACAAATAATATGTGTACAAACCTCTTGACGACCACCCCTGTGACTAACTTCAATATTATTGTAAACAAACACCATTAATTATAGAATATTTTAATTATTTTTAAATTACCTTCAAAACAACCTATTGAAGGTATCTCTGACATGTTTGTTCATAATAAATAAATACAAGATTAATTTCACCACATCAAATAATGTACGAGTGGCGTAATGGTTATTACGTTCACCTCAGAATACTAAGATAGTGAAGTTGCGGGCTCGATTCCCACTAACAGGATTTCTTTTTGTGCTATTTATTATCGTAAATTACTTATTTCTTCAAAAATGAACTTCTTTGAAAATATAACGTTTCGAAAAACAAGAACGCGTTCTTTGAATGATGAGTCGAAAGAAAATAGTCTCAATAGTTCGACAATAGATGGCAGCACAAGTAGCTTACCAAACATATCAAAGGATGAAAGTAACGAATATGTACAAGGACTTCAAAGTCAAATAGAACAGTTAACATCACAACTCAATTCGGCACATGAAGAAATAAAAAATCTAAACATCGAAAATACTGAACTTAGGAAGTCATTGGGCG